ATCGTGATGATGGCGAGAGAGAAAAAAAATACAAACACTGAGATTGCCAAGAAAACAGCACCAAATTCTCTAACACAAACTCCAAGTCCACAAACGATGTGGGAAAAAACTGTGTGCTTCAAATCAAATTGCAAAATAAAGAAACAAACCGAAGAGAAATGAAATATGTTATCACAATTAAATGTTTAATTTGCTATGAAAAACATTAAAAATCATTTGCGTTGTTGTCGCAAGGAAGCGATAATCAGAGAAACGCTTATATTACAACACTTCGATGTTATTTCAAAATGTTTTTCGCTTTTTTCGTTTGTTGTTGTTTAATTTTTGTGTCTGCGAAACATGAAATGTTACTCGTTTCGCGATTTTTTTGACTATTTAAACACGTTCAAATCGCTTTGAATGGGAAGCAAGAGTCGAAAACATGAAAATTGAAACGATTATTGTCCGTATGATTCTGAATTTCACACAAAGAACAATGTTTTTATTATGGTCCTACAGTTCGTTCTTTCTTCTTTACTCTCGTTACACGGTGAGTGATGTCATGTCATTTGTAGACGTCTCTCACTCAATTACTGTGTAAATATGTCTTGCATTCATCTCTTTCTAATCGTACAAATGACGATTTTAGTCGCCATATTTTCAATGGCATTGGACTCATTCATTGTTGTCGTCGTCGCAATAATTCAAATACGTCAACACATTCGAGCAATCGAACATTGAATAAAAAATGTATTTGAAAGTCGTTCGGAATGAAAATGAATAAAATATTTTAAATATTTCAATGAAAATTTGAAACGAGAATCTTTTATGTGAATAGTTTAAGTTTAGCGATGCAATGGAAATCGAAGTGTGCTTTTATATTAGTATTGAATGCACGCTACGTTGGAATTTGACAGCTGTTCGCCGCTGTCATTCCAAATCGGTTCGCCATTGGCTGGTCGAACTGAGTGAAACAGAGATAGAAAAGAAAAAACAATTTTTTTTTGGTGAACGATAGGCAAGAAAGGTCCTAAATCACATTGAATTGTAACAATTCGATTTGATTATGGCTCAACATTTACTGAATAATTTGCAGCTGGCAAGTAAGTGAAATTTTCCGCTGACATTTTCCATATTCATTCCAATCTGTGTCGAATTCCGTGCAATTCATGTGAGATTCAAAACATGTACACAATGCGAAAGGTTATATAATTAATAGAGGCTAGGAGACGAAGGAATCATCAAACTGTTCGTCTCGTATTTATAATAATCGCTAGAATTTGTTTTGATGATATTAATCTGAATCGTCACACACACTGCATGCAAAACTGAGTGAATTTATTCAATTAAAAAACTGAATTCTGTGGATTGTTCTGTAGCTGCTCTTTGATTGTGAAATGGAGCGAACGACAAAATCAAAACATACAATTCATTTTCGTCCATGAATGTGAAAACATTAATTCAACATCTTCATTTGCAGAGCAACAAGTCGGTGCATTGGGAGCGGTTTGCATCCGAAATGGATCATTGGGTTCATTGGCCAAATATTCAACAATTACCGATGAAGAGCCACGCCAATTGAAAACCGTTCGATTGACATCATTGAAGCGTGGTACCGGTGGACGGTCCAGTTTTAATGGAATGGTTGTCACAATTTTTGGTGCCACTGGATTCTTAGGTCCAATGGTGGCCTACAAATTCGGCAAGATCGGTTCACAAATGATCTTTCCTTATCGGGCTGACTTTTATCCAGCGATGCGCTTGAAACCAACCGGTGATTTGGGACAGGTGTTATTCCATTTTTACAATTTGCGCGATGAAAAATCCATCAAAGAATCCATGAAATATTCAAATGTCGTTGTCAACTTGGTTGGACGTCAATGGGAGACTCGCAATTTTTCATTTAATGATGTCCATGTGGATGGCGCCCGTCTAATTGCTAAGTAAATGTCATCTACGATAAAATCAAGTTGCAAACCACATTTCAATGACTAATTTTCGATTCGTTTCAGATGTGCCCGTGAATGTGGCGTTGAGCGTTTGATTCATTTGTCAGCGATGAACGTGACACCCGAACCAGAACCGAAAGTTTACGCAGGTGGCAGCAAGTGGCTGAAAAGTAAATATTATGGTGAACAAGCCGTTCTAGAAGAATTCCCGAATGCAACAATCATTCGGCCGGCTGATATGTACGGTCGCGAGGATCATTTCTTGTGGTATTACCAGCATATTTGGCGTCGTCAAGGACGTGCCCTGCCATTGTGGGAAAAGGGAGAGAAAACCGTCAAAGCACCAGTTTTCGCTGGCGACATTGCTACAGCCATTGTCAATGCGGCCAAAGACCCAGAAACAGCCGGCAAAATCTATCAAGGCGTTGGACCACACCGCTATTTATTGTCCGAAATTATTGACTACTTGTATCGTGTTATGCAAAAAGATGATAAATATTGGGGATACATTCGATACAACATGAAATACGATCCAATTTTCTTTTTGAGAACTTTTTTGACCGATAAATTCACCATTTCCAACCCCGTCGGCGAACTGAATAGAGAACGCGTTGAACGAGAATATATTAACGATGTTATCCTTGAGGGTGTACCAACGTTGGAAGATTTAGGCGTTACTCCAACTTTAATGGATGACCAAGTGAGTAGTGATTAATTGAACAATTTGATTCAAATTCTCATTTCGTCACTAGTTTTTAATCACTGTCGCCGATCCTTTTTTCAGATACCATATGAAATGAAGCCATACAGCGCGTTTCTTTACTATACCCCAGAGCCTGGTGAATTTCCAGAGCCGGGAAAACCCAGACCGTTGGACAAATACGAATTTGTTTAAATTTTCGAATATTTATTCAAATTAAGATTTCCCACTGTTTATTTTCCTTTAAAAAAATTTAATAAACTCGGTTTTGTTTCATTAAAAAAAAACAAGAATCATTTATAATTGTGAAAGAAAACAGAAGTCTTAGCTTTTAAATTCCATCAATAAATAAAAAGATATTATGAAAAATCAAAGAAAGTGTGTGTGTTTTTCCTCTAGAAAAAATACCTTTTTTTCTATTTTAGATACGACTGCAATACGAAAAAACACCTCTGATTTCTCGGTTGAAAACAAGTTTCGATGAAGAAAGAACTGAACTCATAATAATTGATATGGAATAAACACTCTGAATAAGCACTGGTTAAATCACACCTGTTGCATATAGTGCTTAAGATTTTCACTTTCGATTTTTTATAGTATTTCGACCATAACTCGCGCATTATACATTTTTTTCACTTACTGGCTTCGGCAAAATTATAGTCAGAGTAAAGTTGAACAACTCTTTTGAGCACATCAACCCGAAAAAAAATCCACATCCAGATCATTTTATTGGCTCAAAATGGCTTGTCGCTACCAAACGATATCTTCGAGCCCATTAGGAGCCATATAACTGCTTAAAATAAAGCAATAGTGTCTGAAGCTTCTTTTTAGTACTTCTCAAGAGCTTTGCAGACCAAGTACTGAAAGGACTAAAAATGTACTAAAAAGTACTAGATGGTTTAAACCTTTTGGATGGCTATGGACAACTGTTGGTTATATTATACTTTTTTTTCTTTATTGAACAACGATTGGTTCTATTCTATGAAATTAGATTAGAAAAATTACCAAAATATAATTTTTTGCTTTCTTTCCAAGCAAACAACAATAACTTGATGAATGGAACTTGTCAAACTGTCACGTTGCACATAGAAAATCTTAGCAAAAAATAGCACTTTTATTGAGGGAAACTAGCAAAAATAGCATATATTAGGAAACAATTGAATAAATAGCGTTGGTGTCTCTCCCCTTGTTCTGTTTTATCTATTCTGTAGTCTTTGTAGGCTGTGAATTTGGCTTGCCGAGCAGGTGTTCCAAATCGGATTTAGATAATTCAGATGCGACAAGAAGTACGCATTCTAACTCATCCAGAGTTGTTTTTTGGAACGAGTTTTTTCTCCCTTATAAATAATGTTGTTTTTTAATATTCATTTTCGATTGATTGTCTTCACACCATTTGTGAATTAGTTCCATATCATGAAGTATATTAAGTTCCAGCTCTTGGAATGGGTCCACTTCAAAAGTAAGCATGCCATCGTTAGCATGGAATTGTGCTTCACTTTTGAGTGTTAGCCAGAATATTCCGTTAATGTAGAGTAGGAAAAGGCTGGCTGATAGCTTAGAACCTTGTTCCACTCCTGATTTAACCGTTTTCAGTGCACTTCGAGTTTGATCAATTTCTGTGATTTGCTATCTATTCTTGATAACACTTTCAAAGAGTTCTAGCCGATTACCGGTGATTCTGAGTTCGGATAATTATTTTAATAAAATATTTAGATTTACTGAGTCAAAGGCTTTTCCCAGATCAATGCTTATGATTGCAATGTATTTGATTTTGTCATGGCTCTCGAGAATAGCCTCAGCGCAGTTCATAGTTGCTGCTAAGTTTGGTACACAACCATATTGATTTGGATTAATTATTTCGTTCGCTATCAAAAAATTCCAAAGCCTTTTTAATATTGCTTCTTCAAATATTTTATCGATTACACTTAGCTTCGTTATGGGACGGTAGTTGGAGCAATTTTGTTTGCATCCGTTTTTATAAATTGGAATTACGGCTCCTATTTTTATTTCGGCTGGAAAAATTCCAGTTGTGAAACAATCTATAATGGATCTTGTTGGGGGCTCAACTAAATACTCATTTTGATGAATTTTGCCGAGATTTGATCATAACCATTACTTGAGTTTGAGTTTAGATTTCTGATTATCATTTCGGTCTCATCGTGTGTACATGGGTGCATGTCGAGCGGAACAGCGTATGTTGTGTTTCTGAAATTTACATTTTGGTTTACATTTACAAAGTACTACACTACATAGTACTAAATAGTGCTAAAGTGGACAGAATTGAACTGTTGTAGACCCTGATGAACGTTACTAGCTGGAATATTGGTGTTTAGTTCAAGATTGGACCTGCATATCTCATTGATGTGTAACGTGTCAATGATTGACATCTGGACCAATGCGTTCGTACGCATTTTTATGCCAATACATTGCAATTGACATGTTTTAAAGACCCGTAATATTGAGAACACTTGCGCGTTTACAATTAACATTCACCACAATGAGTGCATAATATGCACTGCATATACGTGAATGGGATAATGAATTCATTTTTATATCATACGATCTGAATGTTGCCAGACTCCATCGTGTGTAGCAAACAATATTTTCATTCGCCACCAATAATGTCAAAGGAGAGAGACAGAGAGTGAAAGAGAAAAACAGACCAAACCTTCTAAAAAATTTATGAACTTGCATTCCGTATCGAAAAATTATGTAATATTTTATTTTTATAACTGGGATTTTCTTTCCTGTCAGTAAGTCAGATTTAAAAAAATGAATGATTGCAGATTTTTGGCATTTAGTAATAGTTCTTAAATGATCTGGTCTGATCTGCGCTGAACGATTAAAGCAATTAAAGTTTGCAATATAATCAAAAATGAAACACCCAAATTGGAATAAAAAGGTGCATGCCGAATTCATTAACATACAATGCTGATTGAGAAATGATATAGGTTCTCGAAAATAATGTTAATGATTCATAGGCAATACACTCGATGCGTCATTTGCGTACTTGAGTAATTTCATTGTAGTATTCATGACTGGAATATGCAGCAGAGAAAACTTGATAAATAAGATGAAGATTCATTGATTTTCGATGTTTACTTCAATCCTCATGAAGAAGACGTAGCATGTAAATGTAATAAGCCTTGAGAAACATTCACAAAATTCTGGTCTGAATTCGAGTCTGGGGAGAAAATGCTTCTTCGCAAATTGTAGCCTTGAGCTTCAGAATATCGTTCACATCAAATGTTCACATGAAAGATGTTCAAGGCCAAATCGCTTGAATTTCGAGATGTAAATCATTTTCATCTCCCAAACTATGTGGATTATGATCAATTCGGTACAAAATTCAGTACGGTTGGTTTATTGAATCCGATTGAAACGATGCGCCCACATTGTTTTTAGATAGTCAATGGTAATGCAATTACCCCGCAGCATGCATTCAATCACGCATATGCATTCGCAGAAAAAAGATACTGTTCCCAGGTATTGAAAGGAACGGTGCGACCAAATGTGTGTCTGTGTACTCGCGCGCGACCACCATAGTTAAATGGCAAGACAATTTTTAACACTTCTCAATTAAATGTGCACTGCAGGTGTCTGTGGCGGCGAATATCGTTATCGAATGTCGACGTCATTTATATCTTATTTTTCTTTCTTTTTTAAGAAGTCATTTGTTTTACACGTGTGTCTCAATTACATATCAACTCGAATATGTTATGAAAGAATATATCTGTTTTCTTTTTATTATAATTTGTTCTTATTTTTCTCTTTTTCTTAAAATGCACTTGATCTCATTTTGGGTTGAAAAACCCCAATTTACACAATTAAAATATAATCAATCGGCACAAAATGAAACGAAAACGTAACGAAACAACAAGAATTACACGAGAGAGAAAAAAAATACCTTTTTATAGCTTTACTTCATTCATATATATATATATCTCACTATGCCAATGAATTTTCAGTATATTTCATATTAATTATGTCAATGCATTACGCCTTTTTGTTGCCCTGTGGAGCAACTTGAGAAGAGAAAAAAAAATGCGTTCAACTAATTGAAAATGTGGTTCATTGTTGTTGTTTTTTTTCGACTGTCTCGTAAATTAAAATATTAATTAGACTGGCTTTTAAATATTTATGCGTTGCTTTTCGGCTGTACCAAAGTCGCCTAGTCGATAGAATATAGCATTTTGTGTAACAGAAAAAAATTCACATATACAGCGTGTCTAGATTCGGTGTTATCACTCAGTGGACTTTTGTATTGGTCGCTTGAATATGTGGTCATTGCACGTCCGATATTTTGTACACTGACTGTTGTGTCCACACAACATCAGAAAATGAAAAAAAAACACACGCAAATTACTCAAAATGAGAGGAAAAAAACATGCGAAATATACGCTCAAACTTCAATACATCTGGACATAAAAGGTTAATATGATTCTCCCGTCTACACACAATTTTCAAACGGACGCAAATGGCTTTAAATTATCATGATAATGCATAACAATATGGCAATTATGAGAGGTTATTGAAAATGTTGTTATGCGAATTAAGATCAAGATTAGATCGAATGCTGCATCTACATCAAGAGATCCAATAGATCCATCATCATAACTGGTGGCTCCAAAAATTGTTAAAACATTAATTATAACAATTTTCCGATCATTTTCGAAGAAAAAACTATTTTTAGACTTTTCTAGAAAATCCAACAATTTTTGGTGTTTCGTCGACTTTTTTCATTAGTTTTTTTTACTCTCTCAGAGTCTAAGACTCGCACATCTACTGCGCTGTAAATATCAAACACAGCATTTATGCAAATCTATTGAGCGTTTTAGAATAAAAACCGCGTATGTTACAACAATGCTTGTTCGAAATAAACCGTATACGTTTTCAAATACCGTATAATTATTATCAGTCACTTTTTGTGCTTTTTGGGGGTGTTTCTGTTTAACCCTTCATTTTTTTGCATTCTTCGAATAAATTTTGTCAAAACCATCTAACAATTTCATACAATTTTTTTGTTTTATTCCGATAACAATTTAACACGCTCTAAATCTCTAGTCGCGTTTAAAAATACCCTAAAGCATCTGTTACGTTCCACGCAGTAAATTTTTAGATATTTTTCAAATAGTAAAATACTCGGACCATTGTTATGAAATTTCTTATCCAAATTAGATTAAGTTTGACTTTTCATTTGATTTTTCTCATTGATGTTAGCGTACTTTAATTGCAAAAACTCATCATCATTGTATTTCCCCTGGTTTTCCAGAACCAGGCCGGTTTTACCATGGTTTTCCGGACCCAATTCTGGTATGAAAGCCTCAATTTTATATCATCCCTCCCCTGACTGTATTCTCTTTGCAAAAGACGCACCATGGGCGGAATTTATGCCGTATTGGGTCTCTGACCAGCATGTTCTCACGTGTTCTCATGTTAATAAATAAATAACAACAATTTTGGACGATTTGATTCAACAATTTTTGGAGGCAATACTCATAACACAGTGATAGGCAATTTGCTCAAAAAGTGAAATGAATTGGATCGAAGAATTTGAGAGAAAAAAAAACAAACCATTCATCGTTGATTTTAGTCAATATTAAGCATTCGTGTTGATTATAAATCACCCACATCACGCACTTTTTATCGATTTCACTTATGAGTATGATTTATACGTGCCTCCGTTCTCGATGCAAAGAACATAAAAAAACACGCACAGACGCACACACATGCTGTACCGAAGCAATCGTTTCATATCAGGGCTAAAGTTTTAATTTCTGTTCGCTTGACCATAATAAATTAAGCGCGTACACACGTATTTTAAAATAAAATTTTCAAATTGGAATATAGAATTTGTCGAGAGACAGAAGGAAAAAGTAAATAAAAATTATTGCATTAGGCGTGATCAGATCACATGATTGCCATATAATTACAAATCGAACGAAACATACATGGACCGGACCAAGGATTTCATTTAGTTGTGTACTCTTTCAACCATGCGTGCATGCCGCACAGAACAGACTTGATTGATTTTTCTCCCTAAACGCCTCAATTGGAATGCTGGGCAAATGCAACGGACGCGAACTATTAATGATTCAATTGCAACTGTGTTGGAGCGATTCCGTGACAATATTTCTGGAACAATTGATCGCATCACATTTGTCCGAAGAAAAAGCTCTTTCTTTCTCGGTTCAGATTAATCTCGACTACAAATACCCGATTCAATCGGAAAATAAACAAAGATAAAACGGTAATGATGTTTGTTTTTCATGGAACATTAACAGATTTTCATGAAAGTTTCGCTGGTGGAACCAAACGTATGATAATTTAGATAAAATCGTACAGATACTTTTTTCTTTGCCTAGTTTTTTTTCCATTTGAGATTAATCAATTTTTCATAATATTGAAACACAATTGTGTCTCAAAATGTCGCCAGAGAGCAGAAAAAATCAATTATTTCAACCATTTGGATAGAATCAAACATAGCACTGATTAGTGCATATGAATTCAAATATTATGTGATTTCCTTTCTCAAATAGCATTAAATAAAGCAAATGAAAAGAAACGTTGACCAATTACTTGAAATTTTTTTCTCGTTATGCCATTTGTTTGTTCTTGCACCTTTTATTCGTTTCGTTTTTGCGTTGAACGTTCTAATGTTGGGTCACAGTGCCATATGATTTGCAACATTTTACCTTGCAAGTAAACGTTCAAATGGAAATCAAGCTGCCGGTGTACAGTCTAGCTTAAAGATGACTTTCAATGGATTTTTCCGGAAGAAAACTTTGAACATTTTGAAGTCAATTGCAATTTTGTAATTTATTCCTCAAAAACAAAAAACAAAGACAATGGATTTGATTGAAATGCTTTGCATGGAAAATGGAAGTCATTATTCTGATGATTTGCTTGCGGGCAAATGTCGCCGACTGAAATTTTAGAACGAAAAATAATGGAATCGTCAATTAATTACAGTGTTTTGAGTTCGGCTTGAGGCGTTACTATCAAGCGGTGCCGTGGTCAGAAGATATATAAGTTTACTTGTCAGTTGGACGGAGCGTTTGTTATTTATCACAATTTGAAACAATTAATTTCTGTTGAAAGCGAAAAAACGCACCTTCACACATTCAGCAAGAAGTAGTCGTGCGTCGGGCCCATGTCAAATGCAGACATATACTTTTTGTGCCTTCTAAATTATTCATTCATTGCAATTTTCGCTGTTGTCAATTATTATTCGTTGCCGTTGTTGTTGCCTTTATTTTTTTTTCCTTCACTGTTGTTGTATTCAAAGCGAGTGTATGTTTGTTCTTTTTTCTTCTGCTGCTGTTGCCGCGCACCATTCGAACATATCGTAATGTTGAACGACAGAAGAGAAGAAAAAAACAGGCAGAACAGCAAAAACACACAAAATTGTATCGATTTTGTTTGGGCAAATGTTGTAAAGCGTGAATTGTGCGTGTGCCACGAAGTCGCCGCCGCATATGAGTGTGAGTTAAGTACTCACTAAGAGAATGTCGAACACACTTCTGGTGTGTCTCTGTTAATTTTTCAATGACTAAATCGGTATTTGGATTAAGCGATTTGGTGAACAAAGAAATACAACGCATTCTTTGTCTTTGTCTAGGGCATGCATCGCCATTAGATATCTTTGTCTTAACGCACCTATGTCGAAAAGATGCCGAGAGTCACAACAACAACAATAACAACAACGTAATGTAGCGAAATTAAAATGTTCTGTTTTAGTTTCAAACAGCAGCAACAATAATAACTACACCACCACCACCACCACCACCAACAGCAACAACAAAGCCAATTTTTCTATGTACTAATTTTTGATCCGTGTTTTTCTTTTTATGCGTTTTCGCTGCACTTTTTTTCTTCTCTCTGTCACTTGGCCGTTTAATATATGTGTAAATGGAACCTGCTCAAGAAAATAGATGCAAAAAAATTATTATGGTGAATGCAAGACACATAGACACCCAACGGAAAATCACCTATTCATGATCGCTTTGCCGATCAGTATAAAAAGATCGAGCAACGAATATTCTAAATCAGTACAGCTTAGTGTTCGCTCACATAATCTGAACTTCAGTTCTTACCAGTGTCAATTTATTAACTCATATTCACCATGTTCAGGGTAAGTGATCACCAGTAAGTGGTGACCCGACAAATCAAAAGCGTACTCTCGACTTATCGAGAGAATAGAAAAAAGTGAAATTCCAAAAGTAATCTAAAAAAACACAGTGGAGACTTTCACTCAGAAATTGTAAACACACAAAAGTGCTGAAAAAGGAATAAAATCAAATGGGAATATTTGTGCCAATTCATTTCTCTTGTGATTCGACATGACAAAGTGTTTGAAAATTGGTGTTTAGTGCCATTCATCATCATTCAATCGATCGAAATGCAATTTGCACAAATAACTCAAATCTGCCCCTTTTCCACTTTTGATGTTTTACATAATTGGTCTTTCGTCTAAAACGGAATCTTGTCATTTACCCGATGTTAAACCAAATGGATTTTCTTCTTCATTTCCATAGCTAATTGTTTTGTTCGCCGCTTTGGCCACAATCAATGCACAATTCATCACTCCAGCTATCACTAGCCAAAACCAAAACATCTACCGCTCATTCGGTAACTTGGGACAAGTTTCAGCTCACTCAAAAACCATTGACACACCATTCTCATCAGTATCGAAATCCGATGTGCGCGTTAGCAACCCAGGTGCGTTATTTTTACTGTGAATACTATCCATCTCGAATCTATTGTCCCATTTCTTACAAGTGAAGAAATGTGTCTTGCTTTTCTTTTGGGCATCATAGAATTTTCGTGATTTAAGGATAAATGAAAACAAGTATTTACCTTGATGAAATTCTCTGAAGTTCGGAAGGAGAGTAAGGAGAAAGAAATGGGCCATATAAAAATTGAAAAAAAGCTCTTAGGATATGTTTATAAAAGAAGATCATTTTCATTTTCAAAAATAGGAATCTATTCAGGATATCATGGTGTAGGTGTAGCACCATCTGTATACGGTGGATATGGTGTAGCCCCTGCTCTTGCTCCAGCCTACGCTCGTCCAGCAGTTGTTGCCCGTCCAGGTGTTGTTGCTGCTCCAGGAGTTGGTCTCTTGGGTAATGTAACCATTTTTCAAAATATTCAATCATCAATCGAAACCAACAATTCAAATGCATCCGCACGAACCAAATGTTCATTATTTTCATATTCTTTGTTTTCATTTCTTTTTTTCTTCTTCAGGTGTTGCATACTCAGCCGCCCCCGTCGTATCACACATGACCTACACCAATGGCTTGGGTCTTAGCTACGCCTGGTAAATTTGCCATCCGAAATTTATGAATGAGCGCACGAGAAACTCACTAGATTCAAGATAAATTAAAAGCAAACACAAAAATATCCAAACACAATTCCAACAACAACAACAATCCATCCAAATTGTGTCATTTTTATATTCAAACCGAAATGAAATTACCAAAATTTGAAAACAATCAATTAGAAAACGAAAAATAAAAAAAAATAATGCGAAACAAAATGAAAATGTCACAATAAATGAAAGAGTATGCAGAGGCAAGGAGGAGAAGATACAGATTAAAACATATTGACCGCTTGTAGTATGTGATCCATTTGAATCCGGTGGACGATTCATATTCACAACACAATTGAATACCTCATATCAAGATGAATTTTATCGATCGATTTTCCAATTATATTCCATTTTGCCGGTTAACGACAATTTAAAGTCATTCAATCGTCATTCCAATGGTTAAGTCAACTCTCTCGCTACGACTATATAAACAAAATGAGTTATTAGGAGAAATACAACAAATGAAAGCTCATGGTTTTACAGTCTTTATTCGATGTGCCGATTTTCCGTTATTTTGTGAATAAACCGATGTGAAAAATTTCATGAGTATGTCTTTTTCTGAAATAGTTCCCTTCATTGTTGCGAAATTATTCAGGTGAGAATGAAACAGACGGTTCGGCTTGTTCCGATCATTTTCTTTTCTAATAATGACTCCAGGGGATGGACATGTGATTCAAGATTTACAAATATCCGACAATAATACAGTGCAACACACTTTTTCCGCACCTAAATGCGAGCTCAAATCAATACTTTATGTCAAGAAAAAACGTCATTTTTCGGGTTTTCCTTCAACATTATGGGCTATAACTCCAAAATCTCCAGACGAATCCATTTTAGTGTAGAAAAAATTCGAGAGAAACTATTCATCAAAATCGGTGGAGTAATTCTAACTAATTTCATAAAAATATCGAATCGTGGCTGATTTGGAATCAATCGGATGCAAACTAGGGGAATTTATCATTCAATGCAGCTTGTATGTTTCATGCCTTTTTTCAAATTCAAACAAACTCTTAGGGTGCGGTCACACTAGGAAACATTTTACTGGAAACATGGAAACAAATTTTCGCAAATGTATGGAAAAAAAAGATGCTGGAAACAAACACTTATATATACATTTAAAACCAAAAGATTCACACAGATTCAACATTAAACTGTAAATCAATCGTGATGAATACGGACAAATGTTGTGAATCTGAGTGAATCAAATGCATCCTTATTTGACAGTTCTGTCGCCATCTTGAATTTCAAAGAGCAAAATATTCAGAAATATTCATAAGATTCACACCATTTGGAAAGTGAGTGATTCCCCTAGGATGCAAAAATAGGGGTACCTCCCGTACAAAATGTTCGATTTTCGTTCAAAAATCGACCAATTTTGTTAATATCTTCTTTCGAAAAGATTTTACACTAATATGGATTTGTCTGGGATTTATGGAGTTATAACCCATAACGTTGAAGAAAAACTCGAAAAATTACGTTTTTTTTTTGGTTGGACCTAGAAAAAAAATCAAGCATCATAAAGTATGGAGAGACGCAGAACATTTAGCGAATTTTGTTGCACTGTGTAATCGAGAATTTTGAAAATATTGCTTTGGATTATGCTTTAAGTAAGTTTCAATAGCACGTGAAACCAACTTTTTATCACAAGTAATTGATCTTGGAATTTTTCATTTAAAAAATCCAACTGACCCGATGTCTATGACCACGTAAATGTAAGTATCAATTGTGATTCGAAGATGCGCGAACATATGAGTCACCGAGAAGATTGACATAGAAGCGAGAATAGAACCATACTTAACATATATATGAGGCTGTGAGAATGAAAATGGCAATACAAGAATAAACATTCTGAAACGCATCAAGAAAAAAAATTCGCAAAAATGAATCATGAGTTCTGAATATGCAAAAGTGAAACATGAATTTACATGGGCAGCATGGTTCACTTTTGCGTATTCAGAACTCATGATTCACTTTTGCGAATTTTTTTTTCTTGATGCGCTTCAGAATGTTTATTCCTGTATTGCCATTTTCATTCTCACAGCCTCATATGTGCCATACACCACAATTTTGATAGTTAGAAGAAGAAAATTTTACTTAGCTACCAACTATTTTCTCTGCAATTCGCATTTTGTTTGCCACCTAAACTATGACACGCATGAAATACCATATAGATTTTCAATGTCGAGATTTTAAAAAGAAATTGAACTCTCTCTTACGATCAAAAATGAAACTCTTCCTTTGATATTTTCTTTTGTGAAATTATGGGTAATTTTTATTTCTTCAATTCATCAACAATATTCATAAATAATTGCGGCGAACAAACAAAATAATAAATATTTATAATTGATTTTTTTAAGCACACACACATACATGCATTGTCAACGAATATCGATTTCGTTCGAATAGAATGTTCATATCGATGATTTTGATTTACCAAGCATAGTGAGCGCCGATGCCATCGAAAGCAACGTGTGATACAACCGTGGCTGGAATGTGTTTTTGCTCAAGGATGGCTGGTTGTTGGTAGGCAATCGTTTTGGTGGCCAAAGCTGGTATGTAAACATTATTTGAGATACGAGTATCCGATCTGATATCGCTTGAGAATGCACTATTAACAGCCTTCGAGTGGGTCGATATGGTTCCACCAAGAGATCTGTATGTATTTTGTTGGCTGGAACCGATGGCTGGGCTATGGATGGCAAGTGGAGCGGCATGAGCACCATAAGCGTACTGAGGAGCGGCATGAGCACTATAAGCGTACTGAGGAGCGGCATGAGCACTATAAGCGTACTGAGGAGCGGCGATTGAGCTGTAAACGTGGCTTACTTCACTTGCTGGGGAGTAGGCAACCTTCGAAATTGGTGCGTGCAATACAGCTAGACGAAAATTAGCATGTCAATATTAGAAATATTATGTATTTATAGCTTTGCGAGAAAATGTTGTCAAACTTACGTGCAGCTGCATAGGTTTTGACAGCTGGGGCAACAGCATACGATTGAGCATAGGCTGGTGCGGCTACAACTGGAGCTGCTATTAATTGACAAATAAAACGTCATCATTAATAGACAGAAAAACACTCTGGCTATTTACAAGTGATTGTACCGATTTTGGCAACAGCCGGTGCGGACAACACAGGTGCAGTTATTAAAACGAGTGAAACACATGAAAAATAGATTCCGCCATAAAAAAATAACTTTTTTTTCTGGATTCAATTGGACAGTAAGTTCTAACCGAAAAAAATTCGGCGTTCTTACCAATTGATTGCATTTGGTCCGAAATTCAACCAGATCAAAGAGCAACGAAATCAATTCAAATAATTGACAAATGACTTACCGTGTGCAAGGACAGCTGGCTGGTGTGCAACTGAACTGTATACATGGCTCACGGCTGGTGCTGATGAGTAATGAGCGACTGGTGCTGAGTACGCGGTTTGTGCCAATAGACCTGCATTTGCATAGGCCAATGTGGCGCACAATACTGTTATCAATTTAAAAGCCATTGTTTCTAAAATTACTCGATTAACTTGAATGTTCCCTGCAGAAAAGTTGAGAGATGTTTGTCGTTGGATTGAGTGAATTCAACTGATACCATTGCGGTGGTTAAGCTAGCAGTTTTATACTAAATTTGGTGCCATTGGAAATTTGGTGCTCTATATTTTAAAAGAAGAATGATTCGAAACAACAACAAGAAAAGAAATAAAGCCATGAGACAAGAAAAAAATTAAATCTGCATGGAAAACAATGCCCTTTACAAACATTCTCCACATTCTGCACAGCCATGGGACAGACGACGGCAGCGGCAGCGTACATACGTTTTTGCCATATAGCATCTAAATTGCGGCAAGTTGGTCCAGCTTCTTTTGCTCAGTCCATTTAACCTTTCGGCATATTGACATCAAAAGAACACATGCGATATGTGCTTATACAACCAGACGTTGAGTGCGTCTTTCGGCTGCCGGTCTGTCTGTTCCACTGCGCCCAGCCATCAATAAACCAGTTTCGCTTCATTATTTCGACATTCGATTCCTTCCTGACAACGATTTACGATAGTAAAAGTCGCATTACATTATTGCGCTTGCTATCGCTTTCGTTATCGCACCTTTAATTCACATAATCATCATTTTATAAATTTATATATTTATATATAACGAGTTAATTTTTGTTAATGGAACACTTTGGTAGAGAGCTCTTGCAGAGTTGATGTATGTAACAAAATTCGGCGAAAACTTTTCTGGTTGAGGAAAAAAGAAATTTGAATGTCATTTCGAAAAAGTTGAAGGAGCTTGACTTGGTTCTCTTTTTCTTCTATTTTCTTCGAAATCAGATTGCAATGGCCAATAAACTAAAGTAGTACTCAGCGCAAGCGATGAATATCGAATTGAACAAAGATACAATATACAATGCTCGTTTTATGTGTTTGTGTTTATCCTTAAGTTTTTGCAAAACAAGAATTTCAACCTATTAAAATAGAACTAAGTGAATGTATTTCATCATAAATCTCAAGTGTATTGTTAATGCTTCGAATCATTGCTTAAACAAAATGAATCCAGTCGATGGGATGGTATTTTGCCTTAAAAACTTCGTGCCATTTGGTGAGACAGGTTTTCGAACAGAACATATTGCTGAAAATAATATGCGATGGACTCTGATTTCTGGATCAAAGTAAAAAAAAAAAAAAAACGATTAAAATATCAAAATCAAGCAAAGGGGATGGCAATGAAAGTGCTCGGAACAAGGTCTTTACTTACTTTTTCATCAGTGAAAAATGGCATTCGGTGAATAACATGTTATCACATTCACCATTGCCGCATCGGCAAATTGGACCATATTGCACGCAGCGAAATATGCGTCGTGGCAGTTCATTTTCGACCAAATTTGCACAAACTATCTCATAATATGGTCGATTTGCATATAAACCTCGTAAACAGTATTCGGTTAAACTATTGGGACTGTTGTCCAAGCGGATCCGTTCCACTTGCCGTGGTACAATCGTTCTTTTGCTCTCGTCCGGTAGAAAAATCATTAACAAATCAGCGCTGAAATATATAAACAAAATCTTGCGTTTAAACTGTGAACCAACGAAATAGACTAAACTGTGATCAAATGAAAATCGGTTCTCAAATTACCTGACAACATTCTCCGACCAATAATCATAGTGCAATCGAAGGAATTTCTCATAAACGGTCGGATAGTGTGTCAGCTTTGGATTGTTAAAAATCCGAATATGTGTCACACGGTCACCTACAATGCCTGGCAAGTATTCTAATGAGCAACCTGAAAGTATTTACTCTTTGATTCGAATGATTTCTAACGAAAAAGAAAAAAAAATATAATTTGAGATAGTCTTCATGTACAACTCACGTTCAGCTTCCAGCACCTTGAGACTTTCCATTGACATGATTTTCGTCGGGATCTCTATAAGGTCATTGTCATTCAGAATCAGCTCAGCAAGTGAAGTAGATGCGACATCAATCGGTAATTCTCTTAAGCGATTCTTGGACAAATTCAACGTTTCCAATGACTTCATTGCACCGATACCTAAATGAATGGCAAGAAATCGGATTAAATAAATTCAAATTAATGGTTCGGCTCATTTTTTCCCCTGTAAATCGATGCCATAATTTACCTTTGAACAATGAGATAATTTCATTCTCACTAGCATTTAAATACTGTAATTTGTTCAGTTGACCGATCTGTTCTGGCAGTTCAATAAGTTTGTTTTTTGATACATCCAAATGCTCTAAATTGCGCAAATCACAAATTTCACGTGGAATTGTCTGCAATAAATTGCCACTCAGTTGAATAAATTTCAAATGTACGAATGAATGAAAGAGCCATTTCGGAATGGTTGGGATGAAATTCTCTTTTAGATAAATCTCTTCAAGTGTATCACTGTGGTCAAGCAATTCGTTGGGAAATTCACGAAAATCCCGATAGCTCCAATGCAATATGTGCGGATTCATTGAATATCGTTGGATGTTTGTCTGATGCTCGTTCGATCACAATGAATGCTATCGTCGTTTGTCTGCATCGCAAATCAAAATCAAAATTGTCAACAACAAATTCACAACACAATCAGCAACTGAAACACTGAATTGATTTGATATGTGAGATTTTCATGTGACTACTGAGATGTCAGATGTTTGAAAACAAAAAAAAGTACGAAAACATATTTTGGCAATGCAGTGAAATGTGTGTTTTGGTATGTAGTAAAAATAAATTCATCTCTTTTTTTCTTTCATAGACGAAAACAAACTAGCACAGAGTTGACTAAAATTAGAACAAATGTCAGACTGAAGTGTGTTTATGAAGCTGAAAATTTCATGTTGATTTTTGAATAAGCGTTTCGGGCTCTGGTCCGGTTAAATGAAAGCAGGAATGGTTTGTGATTTTCTTTTCTAGATGTGAGAATTGCGAAATGAAGTTGCAGTAATCATATGAGATGGGATCAACAGGTATTGTAAGCCCAAAGGAATTTTCGATGGTATATGGAACAGTGCTATATCATTTCAGAATTCAAACAATCAATTATATATTTTGGATGACATTGTGGTTAAATTCCACACATATGAATTTATGATTTGATAATGGCATTTTGATGAATTTATTAAGAGCATAATTGTTTTTTCTATTAAGGTCAAGCGCATACTAATCAGGCAATATTTCAATTATAAACTGAATGAATTAGGTATGAATGTTCACGAAAAAATAAACATTTACCTATGAGCAGAGTAGCATCACCTCAACGATAAAATGATTGACGAAGTGATAACGCTGTTTGTTCTGAAAATTCCACCATTTCTTGCAAACAATTTGAAAAACACACGAATGAAAATCCATTCGATGACGTCATATGACGACAATGAAACTCTGCATCGATGTATTCGGATTTCGACGATACTTTTCACAAATGTTATATAAACGGAATGTATCCATCTATGAAAAACATGCGCAATGCATTTGTCATACGACAAGGCACGGAAAATTTATGCATTTGCTGCACAAATACATACAATCCATACCGCTCTGAATGCAGTTTTTTAAACGTGCAATTTTCATTCACAAACGTTAGCTCGTGCTGACACACTCTATTGATATGATTTGTCGAACACATCGCTAACCATTCTGTAATCGACCAACTCCTTTTTATAATACACATCACACGGTTTCGTTAAACACACAACGCAACGGTTATTTCACGACAAGCCAGCTGACTCCGTATACATTGGATGACTCATTCAACTCATAAAAATCGTAATAAATCAGTACGGAGAAAGAAAAAATCAACAACAGATATTGTCAGCAAAGCAATGTTAGTTCAACAATTCGGCTGATTCATTCGCTTCCGATATATCGGTTTCAAACACTCGAGTTTTATTGTTACGTATCAGCTATTGGATGTGTTGGTCGAATATCAGATTCGCTGGAAAAATCTTTAAATTAGTGTTTGATACGTGATTCATTAGTGTATTACCAAAAATCACATCCGCTTGCAAAATTTAAGTCGGCGAAAATAAATCATGTCGGGAGAATGTTAAGTGATTGTGTTAAGATTGATTTTTGCAGTATAACCTTAAGAAGACCGACTTCTGGAGAACCAGCCTAACGGTTATAGAAAAATGACACACTGAATTCACCATTAAAATTATATTTTAACCGATTGCTGTACGTGATTCAAATGGGAATGGAGTTCAAATGTTACTAAGCTATTTCCATCGAATTTTGCTCAACAAAAATGAACGAATAAACAGTTATGGAAAATTCTTTGAATTGATTAAGAAATGCGTTTCATTGTTCGACATCTCCCCATTTTTTACTTTCTTTCTTTTCGGCATTTCCGACTTCATTTGCCTGTTACATTGGTGATGTGCTGTTCACAGTAAGTGACTACTATATTATCGTATGAAATAAACCCTCTTACATGCATATGAAAAACGATGATTCATTGACGGACGAACATCGTTCCGTCGAACAACAACCAGCTGCTCAATACGAATTCATACGTAATTAGATTCGGTTGTCACATTCAATTGCAATTAAAATTTTGCTAACGTACTGTTTTTCCAATAACAATAATAATAATAAAACGTCCACAACTGTTTTCTTCATTCATTGACAAAACAGAAAATTCATAAAACATCTAAGATGTTTTCTTCGCAATACGTTCTCTTGATGGTAAGTTATGGAATATTTTTGAAATTTGCAAATAGTTCAATAATCACTGGTTTTGAAAACTATATCCCATTTTTACATTTTCGATTCAAATAATATGGTGTGACCAGAAATAATTCGACCAATCTTCCCCATTGAAAATGAATCAGCGAGTGTGGTGGCAGTGGTGTCGCGTAAGAAACGTGTCTTATATTTTCTGCGTTTCAAGAAATAAAATTATCTGATTAAATTCAATCAACAGTCAAAGTGTAGCAAGCGAGTAGAATGAATTATTTGAAGAAAATTCACATTTGCTGTATTTCCTGAGTTACGTGTGGTACATGTTTCGTGTATTTTCCATTGTACCTATTCCCTCTTTGAATCCGTATCCATGAAAATGGACCTTAAAACTTATTAATGTCGACGCATTATGAATTGTTTTGGAACATACGATTGCGATAAGTGTTGAAAACAAATACGTTATTTATTGTCACAAACAAATTTGCTAATGAGTCTCTTTGCTATTGAAAAAGCGATTCATCATACAATATTAACAATTTTAAATTCCACCAAAATCGGAAGATTCGATTCAAAATTATTTCAAACTCACTTACATCTCTTACTTGAAACGCATTTTTTCGAACAATTTCGGAGAAAGAAATTGTTGATAGCACCAAAGTTTATCTGTTTCTCTTTTAAATATGTCATTCGTTCAACCCGAAAAAACAACATAATACTAAAAACAAAGTGTACGATGTATTTCCAGAGATATATTTCTATCTTTATTCGTTGATTTATTCCATAAGGTGATAGCTCGAATGAAAATGCGGCAGAAAAAATCAGCAAAAGCCTTTAATGTTTCAAACGCTTCGGATGGATGGCGCTGTCAGAAGCACATTAGAAGTGGTGAATGTGATTATGACAGATAATATTTGTGTTTACTTTTAGAAACGTTGACTGTCAAAGTAGAGAATGTTCTGTTAATATAAACCAAAATACCAACATGGCGGGCCAAAATGCTGTCATGGCGGATATCTTTCTCATTAAACTACACATGAAAATATCTCGAAAACGGCTGGGAAAATCGGCAAAATGAACCGTGGTGTCACTCCCTGCAGGGAGTGTAGACACTCGGCTGGTTTGATGGCCCAAAGCTCAAATCCAGTGGATTCGGGCTGATCCATGGGCTCTCAGGATTTGGTCTGATTCCCAGCTTTTCCTTTCCTGTGAGCATCTTTACAAGTCACACTCATGTTTTGTATGGAATTTCACTACAGGGCAAGTGCTGAGATCAGGCCAAATCCCGAGAACCCATGATTCATGGGCCATGAATGAGCTCAAATCCACCGGATTTGAACTTTGGGCCATCAAACCAGCCGGGTGTCTACACTCCCTCTAGGGAGTGACACCACGGTCCATTTTGCCGATTTTCCCAGCCGTTTTCGAGATATTTTCATGTGTAGTTTAATGAGAAAGATATCCGCCATGACAGCATTTTGGCCCGCAATGTTGGTATTTTGGTTTATATTAACAGAACATTCTCTACTTTGACAGTCAACGTTTCTAAAAGTAAACACAAATATTGCCGATTTTCCCAGCCGTTTTCGAGATATTTCGATGTGTAAATATTTATTGGTTTTAATATACCACTTAAGAGGTGAGTTTGGATAAATTAGGAGAAAAGCGTATTAAAGTTCGAAATATTCCATCATTCTAAGATATTTTCACTAGAGGCGCCCTTACAAAGATCCATCCATTCAGCCTCCATAAGAAGCAATGTATTGCTATCGGATTACGATTTATTCACTGTGTTTTGTTCAAACTGATCAGTGAAGCTAGTTATTGAATCTGAGCTTGTTAAGTTTCATTGCAACTTGAAATGTTAAAAAAAATGTAAGTTTTCGTCGTATTTTTGCGTTTTTCCAAAACTGATAAGACAGAACAATTGTGGGGTCTTCGAATAAATTGTCATAATTTTGCTGCAGACACCAAACTGTTATCTTCTCATCGATTCCGCGAATTCCTTTAAAGCAAACTGAATCACCAAACACAAACATACATCCTTTTTCAGAAATATAAATCGAGAAATATACTTTCCTTTAGACGTCGAGTCTAATCCATTGAAATTTATGAGGAAAATCATATTTTTTATCCTGAAAAGAAAGAAAACAAGTATCGATGGTTTTTTTCTAAACTATGGTAAAAAAAATTCAAACGGCCACATCCCGAAATTTGGTCGACGGTTCTTTGACAATTTTGGCCAACTCATTCAAACGAGCATTAAAACTTATGAAACGTCGATGTTAAAATGGCCAGAAAATAGTTATAAACCGATAAAATTCTGTCTTCAAAATCTATCACGGGCTGTTCATAACGGGCTAGGGTATTGATTTCCAGCAGTGTGCAGTCAAAGATACAGATACAGATTTTCTTCTAGATTCTCTAGGTAGATACGATCTCAACAGATTCTAGAACAGAATACATTTTTTTAATCTAAATCTGGTACTACTATCTGGGTTATCTTGTCAGAAGGTAGTTTTTGTTGAATTTCATTTTTAAAAGTAACAATTTCGATTGATTGCCTTGCATTTTCATGTATTTTTCAGATTGTCTCAAATTTCTCAAATTTCTCAGATTTCACTTAAAACCACAAACCATGAATATTCTGAAAATTTTAGGAATGCTGTGTTTTGTTTTTTAAAAAAAATGCACAGATTGTAAAGAACGCTGGCAAATTTTCTATTGATTGTGGCACTACCACTGTGTATGCGTATATTATTATTGTTGTTGCGGAAAGTGACGTTGCCATTTCTGCCAGTGTTCTTTGATTATAATCATCCATTGCATTGCATATGAATATAGTGCCATAAACTATAGTTCGGAATTCTAAAAACAATCTTTCAATTCTTCTGAAAAAAATATGTCCATAAGATTCAGTTTTCTTGGCTTAGGCAGAAAAAAACACAAAATGTGTTTATGATTCAACTCCCGTAGAAACCGATACATATGTAGAAAAAAACTAAAACTCGAACTGCCACAAGTATAATATGGCTTTGGAGCTCAGTCGTGATTGTGCAATGTGCATGCAATCATTTCCGCTGAAAGGTAGACTGGTCGCCATATACTGAGCGAAGAATTACCGTTTCCGTTCCAAATAACGGATAGAATTAAACGACTTCAAAACGGAAAATCGTATAAAACTGTAGCTTGATTGCTACCGCATAAGGATTGTAAATGGTATGAGTTCAATAAAATGGATTCCCTTCTCTTGAAACGAAAAAAAATGAATAGAATTTAGTTTTTTCCTGCACACGACCGTCTTAACTGTAAAAAATTTAACTTTAAATTGTCCCTTAATCAGAGTAAACTGCATTTTGATAGCGCATATAAGAAACAGCATTGCAACTTGTAGTGCATAAATTATACTTGATAGTGATAGTAGTGTCAGTTGATAAGATCCCCCGGAGCGAAGACACAGTTTATCCAACGTATTACGAATACCATTTCAAAGCGCAATTCATAAAAAACGGAGATTGAACGACCACATATGCGTTGAAATCATCAAATTTCTTTGAATCGAAAATTAGTCATCGCATTAACAGACTTTGTCAATTAAAAAAAAAAACGGGTCACTGTAAACATGTGTTCATCACTGATTTACAAGCGATAGATTTCTCGAGAACAATCCAAGTTTGGCATGTGAACATTTCGCTGAAGAGTGTATCTAGTCTTGGAAATAAAGATCGGTTTAATCAGTGATTGTGAACTTCAATAGAAAAAAACGCCCATATTTCGTATAAGAAAACCTCACTCATCTTTAATACACGTTCACAAATGTACGCAAAATGTTTCTGTGTAAACAATTTTCATCGAATACTTACCTAAGTATGTGGCATGTAGTATGCTATTTCAAATCGTTGCATGTATTTCCATCAATTATCACAGTCTGTGTGAATGAGTATAGCAACGATAAAGTGACTCGATCATCTGTATATGTATTTACCAGCCAACACGCAGTCATAACAAGCGATCTTTTGTTCCGTTTATCGAAAATGTGGCTTATGTTCAGCACATTGAATGTGTGCGTGCGATCTGCTTTATTTGTACCATGATTTACTCTAACCAATACACACGCACGCATGCAAACACATTCAACCAAATCGTATTAAGTTCACAGAGTTGTCAAAACCTGTCAAAAAAAAATATCATTCGATTCAGTCTACAGTCATTCATTTATTTGTTGAAAGAATTTACCTTTCATCAATCTATCAATTGAGATTTTGATTAACAAAAACTGTGTACAGCATTTTGTTAATATTTATTCGTCATTGAATCATTTCCTTATCCAATTGTTATTTTGTTGTGTGTTTGTGCGTTATCGCATCGTGTTGAAATTATTATAGAAAAATAAAATGATCGATGTTATTTATTTGCCTCAAAACAATGAAACTTGAATTCAACTAGATCTGTGTCTGTTTTGAGTAGTGATATCGTGAAATCATTTATTTCTTGAAAATTTGATATTATCGAAATGATTGACAACAGTTTAATTAGAAAATTAGGAGACAGAAAACAATTTAATTGTGTTTGATTCAAACAGAAAACCACTATACAGGAGAAATTGTTTTAAATTGTCAAAATAAACAGCAGTTTAAAAATAGAATTCCAGTGAAACCATTCGCAATGCAATTGCATTAACAACGCTCGTGATAAACAAAGAACGAAAATTGATGACAATTGTCTGTATCGAATTCCATGTTTCGTTCAGACTTAATTTTCTTACTCACTCTCTCTCTCTCTCACTCTCTCTCAAGAGTTCGGCACAAAAAGAACATTAAGTGAGGAAGCTGCACAAACATTTCAGTTGTATGGCCAATTCACCGAGCGAAATCATAACACTGAATGTGCATATTTGCGATATCAAATAATTTGTGTCTAAATTGAGCAGAGTAAAGCACTCAGTAAACAGTAACAGCTGAAAATAAACAAAACAAATGCTATACATGGTTGAGTGAAGACAATTTATATTGAGAGAATTGGCATTAAGATTGACGACAGTGTGACCAGTACATTGGATGCAAAACAAACTGTGACAAAAAAGATATACGCATTTATGTTCATGGGATCGAAAGTAAACCAACAGAAATACAGAAACTGGGAAATTGGGTGTATTTTTCAAAAGTAAGCGACTTTTTCGTATTTTTGAACAGTGAAATTCTTGTGTTGAGAATTTTGAATAAACCAAACAAACAAAAATTGAATCGATTCATCAATTTTCTTCCGAATATTGGCATTATTCATTAATGACTAAAAAATGTTTTTTTTTTGTCTGGAGCGTTTGCTATTGGTGCACGAACGAAAACCATTTAGATACACAAATTAATTCGTAATTGATAGTTTATTCCAAATAAACGACTCATAACTTCAATAAATAAAACGATTCAATTCATATTCGAACATGAGTAATATTCTGTCACTTGATGTCATCATATTTTCAATTCAGTTGAGTTTTGATGTGTACGCTCCCTATCTTTCACTGTCTCCGCAGTAATATACCAAATGAATGAATAAATAAACGAATATCGCTCTCTCAAACAAAACCATATGAATATTTGCGTGACAAATGGTTAATGGTTAAATAAGTGCATATATACGGCGGTGGCGGTGGCGGTGATTGTTTTGATTCATTTCTCTTAGTCATGTTTTCTGTCTTTTTCTTGTTATCACATTGCCACCACAACGAACATTACTGGTAATGATTGGCAGTGAATTATCACTGCATCAACGTTGACGTGATGGTGCGAGCGAGAGCTATTATCCTAACCGAATCCACGACAAGAATCGATTCAATCAGTGTACTTTGCTAGTTTTTATTTTGTTTGAGTAAAACCGAATCGACTTCAAACTCGAGTACATTTTAACATAATTTCCAACTTTTGCCCATTACAGACAAAGTCCTACATTATCAGGATGAACCGAGATGAAAATCATTGTTGGTACCATAGAGGTTTGACACGTGAACAGGCTGAAGATCGTTTGAAAGAATGTAAGCGCTTACAATCAATGCGTATCTCTACCGATAACTAAAAATCAAAACACTTTATAAACATAAAATTGATGATCTTTATCGTGGGTTCTTCTTTTGATTCGATTTCCTTCAATTTGCAGCGGGAATAAACGGCGTATTTTTAGTTCGTGACAGTAACACATCGCCCGGAGACTATGTTCTTTCTGTATTAAACAATGTGAGATAAATTAATGAAATAACAATAATGACATGCACTTAGCTTATGATCAATTCTCGTGTAATTTCTACAGAATGAAGTATTTCATTATCAAATTCGGCGTCACGGAGAAGATGCATTCTTTTCCATCGATGATCAAACTCCAGTTCATGGCCTCGACGAGTTGATCGAACAGTATCGAGAATCTTGGGATGGACTAGTAACACAGTTAGTGGCGATTGCCTCAGATGGATCACTGCCCCCACCTGAGTCGCGACGACATGGACGTGAAACGCTATTGCATCGGGCTACCAAAAAGGGAGACATTAAGGTTGTAGAGGCAATGTTACAATCCAGCAATCAAAGAACTTTGGATGCCAAAGACACAGAGGGTCGAACTGTTATGCACCTGGCATGTCTTCTTACAGATAATGCCGAAAGCATCCTAGACAATCTCATCAGCTGCGGCGCAAATGTAAATTGTCGTGACGAAGAGGGTTATACACCGTTACATGTAAGTGACGAAATCAATAAGCACAATATTTTATCTGAAAGAATCACGACTGAGAATTAATTCGGGGTTCGAAGAAATGAACCGTTTAGAATATTCGTTGGACATGTTTTGACTAGGGGCTAACCACGGTTTTGAAAATAACCAATAATGACCAACTTTAACATTTTTTATCATTTAAACAAATAAATTCCGATATGATCACATTTTGGTCGATTTTGCCCGATTTTTTCAGTAATTGTTTCGCTTTAACGAATGCATACTGTTCTAGAAGCAGGTTTTGGTGCATCCACAGGATCGTTCAGAACTGCTCCCGATTCTGGAAGTGGGTTTTGGTGGATCTTCAGGATGGACCAGACTGGGTTTGACAATGCCCTGTCCCATCCTGAGGATCCACTTCCAGAACCGGGAGCAGTACTAAACGATCCTGAGGATCCACCAAAACCCACTTCCAGCATTTTTGAATCGGTAATGACGTCAGCACATTAAACGTTTATAGTCGATATTAAACGATAAAATTCAATATATACAGATTTTTTCAATTTTTTACGGATGTCATTAAAATTGGGCGATAAAAACAGATTTTGTCAATAAAAAATCCGTGGCTAGCCCCTAGTGTTTCGATACGTTCAACGAATATTCTCGGCGGTTCAAATATTCATTCCTTTTATAACAGTATGCATGCCGAACGCAACCATTGTCATTGGTTCGCAAGCTCGTTGATGCTCAAGCGTTCATTGATGCCCGCAATAATGATACCGGACGAGTGCCACTGCATGAAGCGGCCGGTGCAGGCAATTTAGATGTAGTAAAATTGTTGCTAGAACAAGGCGTTCCACATCTACCACGCACTATACGATTTGAAACACCAGCTCAACTTGCCAGAAGAGGCGGTTATCCTGAAACTGCTGAGTTCTTGGGTACTATTCTTCATTCATCGAAAAAAATTATCACTTTATTAAATTTTGTCACTTTTATCCAGAAAATTTCGTGCCACCTTCTCCCACAACAAATGCATCTCAATGGCAACATGGTACATTGAGTCGAGATGAGGCTGCTAGAGTTTTGCGTGTATTTGTTCGAGAAAATCGTGAGAATCAGGTAATATTTCAGTTTTTAATCATAACCGTTGCTTTTGACTTGACATGATTCCATTTGATGGGCTGGATAATATTTTTTGTATACTAAAACTAAAATATCTTCTATTAGGATGCAACAGGGGCGTTTTTAATACGATTTTCACAACGAGAACATGCATATATTTTGGGTTTACTCAGTGAAGATAATGACTTCAGGAATTATGTCATACAACAAAGTAATTCTGTAAGTCCACCCAAAGCTAATTGAAACAAAGACTTGATTGAAAATTTTATAAGAAAAAAATATGTTAAAAAATTCCATTCTCAAAACAGCCGAATCATTATTATTTCATCGACGAAGGACCGTATATGTTATCATTAGAACATTTGGTTCAACACTATATGAAATTTGCCGATGGATTACCAACCAAATTGCGATTTCCAGTGGCACCGAAACCAAAACCACCACTTCCTCCAACATCAATACAAGATCCAATGCTTAAAGTTAAATCGAGTTGTCATCAACTGCTGAAGTCGGTCATTTCAAGAGCCTCAACCAGTAGTGGCCAGTCATCATCGGGTGAAGCGTCGAACGCCACTCTAATAAGCCGCGAACGAAAACTCTCAAAAGATGCTGATGCATCGGCAAAAACGCCACCACAAATGAAAGAACGCAATCTCTCACTTCCGTCCGATGATTTGATGAACCAAGTTGGTCTATCCAGTCCAGCGATATCGATGAATTCACTACCACCGCTCATTGATGCAACATCACCAATAGGAACCAAACCGAAGAAATCTCCCAAGAAAACATTTTCACCAAATTTCCTAAGCTTGAAACTACCGAAAAAGAGTAACAAGTACAAGTCAAAGTCAACCAATGATAACATGGACAGTGCATCGAACCTCCTGGCTAACGATCCGATTTCTAGAACATTTAGCAGTTTAAGCTTCAAGTCGGACGTCAATGTCGATTTGAATGATTCCGTGTATAATATTCCAAACAATATACCCGTTTCTGGAGTTGATGATAACCAAAATCTCAGCATACTGTCGTCAACGTCCACTCTGCCACTATCAATACGATTAAATCCCAACAGAAAGGATAGCCATCCGGATGTCGATTACATGCAAAAATTTACACAAAGTGATAAACAGATGTCGGCGGTAGATGATGACACTTACGACAAAGACAATTCCATAGAAGAAATTTATTTTGTTGAAGCACCAACAAAAGTCGTGCCTATCAATTATGTTGCATTCAAGCAAGTCCCATTTTTTCCATCATCAAATAGCGTAGCCGATACATCAAATAACAATGCGGTAAATAATAGTTTAGTGAACAACAACGCATTTACAAATACCCTGACACGTGCCGACCGTGTTCTATCGGTCGAGTCGAGTCTCAGTAATGATCTCGACTTGATGTTGGCACTACAGAGCCAATCCTATTCAAATGGGAATATGGGAAACGGCAGTCCAAATTACTATATACCAAGGCCAAGCATTGAATTGGATAGTGCGCTTGGCCAGGGCGAATTCGGAAGCGTCTACAAGGGACACATGAAATATGAAACTCAGAATGGAGAATCACAAAATATTCCGATTGCCATAAAAACTCTACTCGACGAGCACTGCAAAGAAAATCGTATTGAGTTTTTGCGCGAAGCCAGCGTTATGGTAAAGCTGTCCCATCATTGTATAGTTAAAATGATTGGAATTTCGAAGGTATGTCCAATTTTTTACTGGAGCAGATTTCATTCTCTTATTTGTCATCTCATTTCTTCAGGGACCTCCATTGATGATTATCCAGGAATTAGTATCCTTGGGATCCTTATTGGACTATTTGAAAACAAACAGCGATAATATCAAATCGGGCTCGGAACTGAAAATCTGGGCATCACAAATTGCATGTGGTAAGTACCTTGAAATTGAGCTAGCGTTCTTAAACGTTCTTGAAGTTAATCAACATGTTTTGTTGTGCATTTCAAATCGCAGGAATGAATTACTTGGAACAACAACATTTCGTGCATCGGGATCTAGCAGCTCGAAACATTCTATTATCATCGGTTCATCAGGCAAAAATTTCTGATTTTGGGCTGTCGCGTGCTCTAGGGGCTGGCAATAATTACTACCAAACAAGTGGAGGTGGAAAATGGCCACTTAAGTGGTACGCACCTGAATCATGTAACTACGGTACATTCTCACATGCCAGTGATGTTTGGTCATTTGGGATAACCCTATGGGAAATGTTTTCATTTGGCGAAGTGCCGTACGGTGAAATGAAGGGCGTTGAAGTCATCAAAATGGTTGAAAAAGGCGGCCGTCTAACAAAACCAGAGCAATGCCCGAATAATGTGTATGAAATTATGTCCAGCTGCTGGAATTACAGCCCAAAAGATCGGCCAACATTCCGTTTTCTCACTGAATTCTTCGCCAACGATCCAGACTATCAAAATCTGATTGAACTCATTAAAACACAAAACATTTACTAAGTATATTTTGCTTTGATTCTGCATAACATATATAGCGGCGGTAGTTTTTGGTAGATTTTCATTCAAAATACACAAAAAATGAAAAAAACATCGTGCCACATAGAAAGATGTGCCATGTACAGAAAATATTATCAAAATTACCGCAAAATATCTTGAAATATTGGTTACTAAATGGCGATACCGAGTAGAAGTTTAAAATTACGTAACGATGCAAACGTTATTATTGTAAAGGAAAAATAGCATTTTTTTTTACACACATATTGTTTTTACACAATAAGAAATCATGATTCCAACAAGATATTTATTTTTTATTTATTTTTGTTTCTCTTCAATGAAAAGTTGTTGGAATTTTTGCATGCAGTAAAATGAAGGGCGGGTATTATTTTTGAATCTCTTTATGTAGAAATGTTTCATAGCAGAAGAGACATGAACACATTACTATTTACTTCTATTGTGAATATCCGTTCTTTTTCCGCCGTTCATTTAAAATTTAAAAAAAATTGTTCAAAAATATGTTATTTTAAGTATTTGTTTTGTATTAGTTTATGTGGTACAATATATAATTGTAAGAATGTAGACGATGGCAAGGTTTTAAATAATAAACACAGCAATAATATGAAATGATTATATTTTATTTGTTGTTAAAAAATGAGGTTTTTCCATGTAGGCAATATTGTTGGTTTTCTTTCTTATGTTGGGCCCAATATTAGGTGAATACTGCCTGCTTCATTATTTCTAGAATTATGGATCCATAATTAGTTTTTTTTCTTTAAGTTTTGGATTTTCAGAGTAATGAACATTCTTAAAGCGAGTTAATTGTTAACGTTTTTGTTAAAATTTCAATCAAATCGTCTTTTTTTATTCAGACGTGCGCGCTGGGCGTTCTACGGTTTTACCCCCCTCCTAGAAGAAATTTTTCAGATTTACCCCCGGGTAAATATTTTAGAAAAACCTAAAAAAAAATGATTTACGAAAATCAGTCTTAGAACATATTTTTGCATTAAATTGCAACATTTTTTTGAATTTATTGTGTTAGTTGAATTGCTTACAAAAATTTGTTGTTTTGTGGTCATCACAGAAAAGTGATGCATCACAGACATGTCTGTATGCAATATCGGAAAAAGAGAGAAATGTGGGATAAATCGATTGAATAAAATAACATAATGATGTCAGAAATGATTTGATATTGACATTTTGAATTCCGAAAAAAGCACTAGTTCTGAGATAGAAATATGTTTACCTAGATATTTTATACTGTATAAATATGCACGTACGGACGACCGTATGACGAACGTATCAACAGTGCCATCATTGTTCGCTATGTACTGTATTCATACACAATACGCACACTCAAGCGTGCGTTTTGCAATACACGGGCGACCGTTGATACGTTCGTCGCACGGTCGTCTGCACGCGTCTATGTTTTGCATATTTATCTTGCATATTCCTATGTCCGAACCAGTGCTTGGCTAACAGACAGCCCCAAGTAATTCTCGACCCCACGGTCATCAAGCGATAGAATGTATTTTGAAAATTCGATTTCCTAAAAATGTGGGTGGGATATCGAAAATTTTCTTATGAAATTTCACGTGTCATTTTTTACCCCCCTCAGTTTTTGACCGTGCACCTGTATTGCACTGAATCTACATATAAGGAATTGTCAGGCTGAAGAGTCATGACCGATTTTACTTTAGACTGTAGCCTAATCTAGTTGTTTACAAAGTGAAATTCAATTTTTTTTATTGATAATTCAATCAATGAAAGTTCGCCAAATTTCATTCATTCAAATGTGATAATCAAATTGGAACATATGGACAAGACAGACCAATAGAATAATTCCAAGAAAAATTATCAAAAGTAAATGCAAGTTTTTTCATTTGAGATTGCTTTCTAAATGTTAGTTTCATTGGATTGTTAATGCATTTTATGCATTTAAATGGCACGATCAATTTTGAGATTTGATATTATTTTTTATGAGTCAATGAGCAAAATGCAATTATTCACACGAATATTAAATTAAGACCCCATTCAGGTTTGAAAGAAAAAAATGTGTCTCGAAAAATTCCAAAAGACAATTGAATTGCGTTGTTAAAAATGTCTACTACTATTTGTATTTAATACAATCAATTTCCAATGCTTAATTATACACAATTTAAATTCAATTCAAACAAAGTAATGAAATGGTATCAAGTATCTCCACCATGATATCGATTTGACACCCAAATCTTCAGTAACATCATCTGTAGCGCATGCTTGACTCTCCGAACGAGTTTTTGTTTCGATTTCTATTTTTTAAAAAATTGGGAAAAAATGCAATTAGTTTGATCTTAGAATAGAGATTTGACAAATAAAAATACAAACTCACCGGTGCTCATGTTATATTTTGCCCCCTTTTCCACATTTTGACCATTTATCTTGTTACTATTTTTATTATCACTTTTAATATCGTCGAAATCGTCGTCGTCATCGTCTCCGTTTTCGACATCATCATCATTACCATCTCGTTTATATTTTGAAAAGCATATTTCTGGATCGGGCGGATACTCGTAGCCAGGATCTCGAAAGAAGTAGTCCACACTTTTGCACTGCATTGAACAATGAAAATAAATTATGGTTGAAGTGATGAATTGCACAAATAAAATCGTACGAACCAATTTTTGATTGTGTTGTTGTTGTTGCTCTTTTTGCTGCCGTTTTTCGCGAGCATAGTCGAGTGTAGCAGTATATAATTTGTGTAAGAATTCAGGAAGCTGTTTTTGCGCCACCTTTATTGATTTAGAAAACGAGAGGTAAACGAAACAATATAGACGTCAACTATTTCAATTTAATTTGGAAAAATCACTCTGGCCAAATGGAGTTGAATGGAAATCCTGCGCTACATACCCACGATGTAACTGATTGTGGTAGAACAACGCCTGGATTTTCAAAATAGGTGAGTACGTATTCAATGCCAGGAGTTTTCAGTGAGTTCGATGTCGAACGAATCACCATACAGCTCCAGTAGTTATTGACACGCTGAATATTTGGCTTTTTTGGACTAAAGGGATGCACTATACTCTTGTTAACGATTATTATTAATTTTCGATTGCGGTCAACGAAAAACCGTCGATTGAACACATAATCTCGATTTGCAAACAATTTCTGCGAAATGGAGAAAAAAATACGTATTTTAACAATCGTTATGTGATGGACTTGATTCAATATACTAACCGGCCATTGCATTTCCCAATGAATGATATGACTCTTGTGTCGATGTACCGGATCGGTGTCGATGACATCTAATGTAATGGCAGATTTGTCCCATTCCTTTCGATATTCCGTATCTGTTTGAATATGAAGAAAATCCTCGGCCGAAATATCGTCGTAGCTGGCATAAACTGAAAGTACAAAGCACCGAACATTAGCATATTCTTAGTAGTAGGACAAACAATTGTTGTTCACCTTTATAGGCGAAGAGACCTGGTTGCTCTTCACGTCTCCAAATGATCATATTTTGCCGTTCCATGTACGGAAACCATTGTTTTTCATAAGTTTCCGGTGGTTTGCCAAATGATTTTGTAGCCAGTTTAGCTGATTTTGATGCAGTTGTATTGCTTGCATTGCATGTACAATAAATAATCCCATCCATTCGGCAGTCGATGATCAAACGATGACCGCACGTATCACAGTGTATTGTTTCGAGTCGCAATCGTTCAACCAGTTCCAATTCATCGAAATTTTTGCGAACCGACTCATAGTTTATTCGCTCCGAATCCCAATCAAATGCCGACGCTAGCCCAACGCCGCTAAGCATAAGTCCTTTGGCATGACGCTCGAGCTACAAATACCCATACAAACGAATACACGATGAATTTCGTTGTGAATAAAAAAATAAATGCACACAGGAAATATCAAATCAAAATCATTAAGCGTGTGTGCTATACGGCAATTGTTTTCGTGCCATTTATTTTTTTTCCGTGGCATTTCGTGTGTGACATTTTACATAATCAAAGAGGCTATAGCCGCAAGTAAGTCATCAATTATGTTAGGCGTTACGTAAAATAAAAGAAGCAGTTGGCTGTGATGTATTCGTTAAAATTTGTGTACCTGTTTTCGAAGCTGCTGAACGATTCCACGCAATGTCTGCTCATCCCAAATGCGCCGATACAAACAGATCATTTGTTGACCGCGACGAAATCTCTGAGCAACTATATATTCGCAATGATCGGTCCATAACCTTAAAATTCGGCACGAACGATTTTTGATGGTCTTGGTGAAATATTGATCAATATTTTTGATTCGAATAAATTGCTGTAATGGCAACATTGGGTTCTCGATCTTCTCGACGTATTCTTCCCAATTAAACACAATCAACACTGTACACCGTCCAAGCTCTACTATGAATTATGCATTTCTTTGGTCACGGTTTCTAATTTTCTGTTGCTTCGCTCAACTGTGCTCTTATCACTTGTGAATGAATTATTCTGTTGTTGCTGTTGCACTGTAAACGGAAAATTAAGCACAGGCGATTACTTTTCCCGATTTACTTTTGATTTTATTTAAATCGTCGCATGAAGACAGTATGCGCCGCTATGATTTCAAAATTGAACGAATCGAAATGATACCAAAATTAACGATATCTATTTTTATTCGTTTTATTTTATTTATTTTTTTTTTGGTTCAGCCGCTGTTTTTGATTTTTGATAATAAAGCAACAAACGCACACAATATCAACGATTCAACACGAACGAAAGTGAGACAGAATCTGATTTCGCACTGTCGAGATTTCAATTGTATGTTACCATTTGATTATTAGCGAACCATTGAATTTGACAACAATGATAACAATAATAGAAACAGTTATGTGAATTTGATGTGCACGTTCTTTGCGGTAAGTTAAGGACACTCAAGAAAGGTCATACCAATAAAATATGCCACGAAATTGCTTACTATCGATATACGATTAGATTGTACATTTTGACAACGGAAAATGGTTTTCATTTTTTTTCTTGAATTCACATAATTTTCCACTAAATAACTTGATCCAAAATAAAGTGAGAAAAATATTCATCAGTCATATACATAGATGAATATAATATATAGCATCTGCGGTGATGCTGTATTTAACAAAAGCCGATCTGATATCGTTGGGAATTGATATGAAGTTTAAGCAAATGAACATTTCAGCGAATCAGTAGAAATATTGACAACTGTACGAACGCAAAATTAATTTTCATCTATTTTACCTAAGTTGATTCTATAAAAAGGAACTCTTTTGTAATATTTTTTTTCTGCTTGGGAGAAGTTCTATGCCGCATGACATCTGTCAATGTAACATACATCGCGCGCGCACATGACAGCCACCATAAAGTCGTAAAAAAAAATCCAACGATTCGGTGCTGTGTTTGGTTCAACTGTCAAAATCGCATTATTTCGAAATGCCGTCTATGCTGTAGACAGAGAAGGCACGATTTGTTATGACTGAGGTTCATGTCGGTTTTTCGTAAATACAAAGAATATTGGCAACAACTATGTCGAAATGGATGCGTCCAATGACTTCGGACGAAAGACAAATATGCTTAGTTCATTTTTTTATTGGTTTTTATTTTATTTGATTTTCAATGAATAAAAATACAATTAAAATCAATAGTATTCCCTGTGTTGGCCATTTTTATGTTGTTGACGTCGGAGTTTTGAACCATAGATCTGTGATCAGACCTCTTGTTACATTGTCGTAATCACACTTCTCGTCCTGTTTGAAGGTGAATTGAATGGAACGTCCAATATTGATGGGATCTTCTTTGAGTTCAATCGCTGAAAAATGCACAAGATTTGGCCAATTGAATTTAAGTATAATCTTATAGATTTGGCCAGCATCGATGGGAATCGGTTGTCGAAACATAATTCGATTCTCTTGGTTCAAATCAATTTCAAGGGCTTGTGCGCGCGAATTCTGAATCATATTTTCTCGGCCAACGCGTAACAAATGGCCCATCCTCGGAACACGATTTCTATATGGAAAGTCTGGTACATGTGTTGGTTTTGCGATTTGAATTCCATGCAGAATAATATTTGAACTCACCGAAAATCTTACCACTTGCTTCACATTGAGAACGTGTATGAAACTGCGACGCGCTGCAACTCGCGAACAAACAATGAAACCCTCATCATTGAAATGGTGTTTTGTGCGTAGCGTTGAATTGTTTAAAATTCCATTTGTTGTTATGGAAATGATTCGATGCTCAAGATCCTGTGTTTTAAACATGCCTGGATATCGAAACAAACAAGTGGAAAACTCAGCCGATGTCATCGTGTCGAACCGAATTAAATTGAAACAGTCGCCAAGTTTTGCTTTGCACCGTTCAATGGTCGGGGTTTCATCTGATTCAGTGAAGCAGGCTTGTTTTGCCCAAAGCATGGCCGCATCCAGTAAATCCGCTTCACTACAATCAATGCCTGGCATCGAAAGAATTCTCTTGAGCACCATGTAGCTGCAATAGGGAAATGCTTCAGCTGCAAAGGCCGATTTGGCGTCATCACATATCATTCGTTCACAAATGTTGATCAGCTCCGTAATTTCGTACAATGCTGCAATGTGAAGTGTTAGGTAAACCGTTTCAAAGCTCATGTACTCGGTCAAAAAATCGATGCAAATCCTAACACAATCCTCCAAATCATATTTGTGTGCCATTTGAATGACTTCGAATACATTGTCACTGGTCAGTGTCACTTCATTCAAATAGAAATATTGTAGGAATTCGGTGAATGCATCAAATGAACAATCCGATATAATAACGTCTTCACCTTCTGGCAGATCACCGTAGAACATTTGATGAAATACTGGACTCGCTGCGGCCAAAACCAAACGATGTGCCGTTAAACGTTGGATCGTCTCATCATCACCGGTATTTGGAAATGTGAAGAAAACATCCGACATATCATCATTCAAGTATAATTTACATAGACTTTCGGGCACTTGATGATTTCGTATTGTTTTCAAAATATTTACATCGTTGTCGAAAACGTATGCCATTTTGACGCTCACTGCACTGAGCTGAACTAGCCACAAACTAAATAAAACAACAACAAGAAGAAGAAGACGATGATGAAAACAATAAACATTCACCAAATGGACAAAGCTGTGTTAGTATGATCGACAAATAGTAATTTGGATAGTAGTGTTACAATGATGGATGGCATTAAACGTATCCGATGCAGTTTCGTTGTGGAATGTTGGTCGCCATTTTTATGTCATATTCATTGGATGAATACGATGACATTCGTCGTCTGCACTAAACAATACAATCATACCGTGTCGACACAGTCCATACACATACATACATACATGCACAGTGAGAGAGAGAGACAGGGCCACCTAAATGAGACCGCATTCACAACAGCCGCAACAAGCATATCATCGAAACCATCCGATTCTTGTTACTTCTTCGTAACAAACCGACCGACCGAGAGCGAGAGAGAATACTTTGAATTTAATTTTAAATGTATACAATGTGACGTCACATCACAGGCGTGGTGGTTCAGTGTCTCACTCTCTATTTTTGATGTAGTTGTGTCTATCTTACCTACATATTTTTATAGCATATTTGTTCAGTGTGTAGTTTGCGTTTCAGCTTAATTTTTTTTTATTTTAAAATCATAATAGAGAGAAGAAGAAGAAGAAGTGAAAAAAAGAGAAAGAAAGAAAGAAACGGAATACATTAAAACAACTCTCGCACAAACATTCATGTTTCTTCATAGTGTTTGGCATTCAAATGGATGAAGCATAGTGTAAGTCGCGAATTCGCCACTAGTGTTGGATTGATTTGTTGTTCAGTTCGGCCGTATGTGTTTTAACTTACATTTATATTATATATAAATTTGTTTTTCAGTAATTTTCTATTTTTCGTTTTTGTGTGTTGCACATCTCGTGTGTGCTCCAGTTGATTTTCTACGAAAAGACAATGAGCATAAGAATGTTTTGAATTTGTGAGTGCATTTACAAAATAAAATGAAGATTAAGATAGAAATAGAAAACAAAAATTTGGTGAATATCTGTATGATCAATTGATGTAGCGAAAAAAATGAGTTTTCATTGAAAAGGCGACCGAAAAAAGAACGAGAATAAAACAGAAAAATAAGTTGTGTTTCTTATGTTTTGTCATCGCATCATTTTGGGTGTTTTAATGAAGCACACACATACGCAATATAAATTGGGTATAGTCTAAATCGATAGTCAGAAGTTGAGAAACACACACAGAGAGAGAGAGAAAGATAGAGAGCAACAGAACACGAATCATAAAAAGTCTACTGATAGCAGTGAATATCGCTTCAAAACTATTGCAATCATCACAATGTGCTGTTATTAATCATTTTAGAAGAAGAAGAAGGAAAAAATTATCAAGAAAAAAAAGAACAACAATTCTCTAAATCAAGAAAAATGCCAGAAAAAAAATATTATTTGCCACTTTTTGTCCCGCTAATACCTGCATACTACACACACATACTATTTTCTTTGCATTTCTTTTTACTCGATATTTCAAAGTATATATATATATTTTTTTCTGATGTGATGTGTAGACGCACTAGAGCGGCAGCAGCGTGAACGAGTCATAAGGAAGTGAGAAAGAGAAAGAACGAAAAGAAAACACAATAATTAACTTAAGACGGAATGGAAATTTGTTTCAGCAATCGGTTTTGTGAACTTTTTTTGCGAGTGTAGTTGTTCACTGATCTAATGACGATGATTATGATGGTGTCTTCGGACGATTTGTAAAACCAAGCAAATCACTAAAACCGAATATCAGGTGAACATGTCAAAATATATGCATATATAAGACGAATGAGAAGGAAAGACGATGACAAAGAAAGAAAGAAAGAAAGAAAGAAAGAAAGAAGAAGAAGAAGAAGAAGAAGAAAAAACTATGTCTGAAAAATCGTGAACAATTTTGTTTTACAAGCGAAAATATCGCTATATCAAAAAAAAAAAATATATATATATATACATATATGGTGTGTGTGTTTTTTTTAAGCGGCTTCATCGAAGAATTTGTGGACTGCAAAAGCGAATGAAATAGGTTTTCGAACCAATTTATAAACGAAAAATAGTTCCATCTCAATTTTTTCGCATGTGTGTATTTAATTTGTGGATGTGTTGCGTGCGTTTAAGTGCATAAAAAACGAATAGAAAATGCTCGAGTAAATATCGAAAAAAAATATTGCTGATTGAACGTAAAATACAACAACAACAGCAACAGCAGCAATTTTTTTTATTGCATCAACTTCAAACCATTCAACATAGGCATACAAAAATTCATGATAACCGCATACGACTGGAATTGGTTATTTAAGGTTCAGGGTGTCAAAATGACGAATGAAAGTGGTCATATGTTTTGCATGTAAATGAAGTATTGAGCCTGCGATGCAAACTAGTGATCATAATCAATGAGATCAATTGAAATTAGAGTGGGTCTAACAAAAAATTGGTTTGACAAACAAGCAACAACAATCAAGTGCATGTATAGATTTATGGGCACTCAGTTAAATTGACTTTTATCCCCTGAAGAGAAAAAATACCATACATAGAAGCTGCATCATCAACATCCAAATGTGCATTTATGTCAAACGAAACAAAAAAAATCATTAAACATGTTCGGTACATGCTCGGTGCTACTTGAATCGGAGAAAAAAAATATATTTATAAAAACTGCGTCATTTTACTGTGTAGTATGTTTTTGTTGTTTTTGTCTCGAATGATTTGTGATGTGTGATTTGTTATTATAACCATTCGAAGTTTTCATCATTGAAATTGAATCCAGGTTAAATTCTTCGGCAAATCGGTCGGCTTTCATATGAAAAAATTCGCGAGAGGGAGAGAGAGAGCAAGAGAGAAATACTCGATGCACTTGTCTTTGTGATAACTAAAACACCGACCTTTTGATGTGTGTAACGTTGAATATGTGTCGTGACTGAAAAAAAACGATCATTTGTCATCGATGACATAAGGCATATAAAATAAACAGCGACCGCACAAAAAAACGAACGTCCGTCCGTCCGTTATGTGTGTGTATGTGTTGTTGGCGACTTGACTGTTGCTTTTTTTGCAACTCGTAATTGAACTATTCGACACGTATTTGTGACTGTGCACGGTGAATATCTTGCTAAATCAATCAATTCGATTACCATTGCCTTAAAATCACGTTGAATTAATGGGCCTTTCATTGATTTTATGCAAGTGTTTCGCTTTTTGTGACAAAATATTTACGCTCATCTGAACAACAACAACAATAGATATAAAATGTTCATAAAATTCATAACAAGAAAAGAAACAAATTCTCATATCTTCACAAGGACGATTCCGTTCTCGTTTTTGCAATCGCAAGCAATGTGCAAACGCCCATTCTCAATACAATTATTGCGTCTATTTGTTTGTATAGAGAATTGATGGGGCTTGTTTCATGTTTTACAGCATGCCGATTGAACGTCTTAGGATCAGATACTTAGCTTGACGCCAAAACTAAACCCACTTGCTTCTGAGGATGCTTTTGTGCCATTGAAAAATAAAACGAATTACATACGTAATCCAAACCTTTCCGCACCGTAGCAATTTTTCCTACATTCCACTAGAAAACAATTTCTCATTGAATTCGTTAGACTCACCAAGAGAATCATTAAGTCAGGACCTTAAAAAATCGCTATTCCGATCATTTTCCATATAAAATTGTCATTTTGGGGGAAAATTTAAGAAAAGTCGATTTCGGACCAAATTTATGAGGATGTTCAGTTGTTCACAGACCCCCATTATTTTCGCAAAATAATGGTAGCTTGCCTTGACCAAAACCCTGAAAAATGTTTTTTTCGAGTACTTTCCATACAAAAGTGTCTGGGGTCAACTGGGGTTTTCAGGTCGTCAGTCAGAGGCTTATGGTACGAATTGGTAGGTTAGAATGGACTCAAAATCAATCAATCTCGACATGCCAAATTTCTGGCTTTTACAGATCTCAATTATCTTGTCAACTTTTTGAGATATCCGGCGAACAAAAAACGCGAACGCGGACGCGAACGATTACATAAAAACATCGCATTTTTGCACACTTTTCATAGTAAACAAAGTATTTTTGGGAATAGATATGGCTTCACCGATGGGATTTATTCCCATCTACATTGCCTAGTGTACAGATATGCGCTATTTGAAATTTTTCGTAGAGTTTTAGTGGTCGAAATGGAAAGGAGTCACGACATTCTGGCTAGTAAAACCAATATTTTTCTATACAAACAAAGTTTAAGGAAAAGTAAAAGCCTGTTGAAGGATAACATTCGGGAGATTCAGTTGTCATACTGCAGTGATCATTGTGTTGAGTCGTTTTAATCTTGTTCGCTGCTTCAATTCTTTGTAATTTCTTATTTCTAATGAGTTCGACGAGCGTTGTTTGTTGCCACAGCACACACTGCATTTCCGTTGTTCAATGTTCCAACGAATTCGCAAGCGTAGCGCGGCTTTTTCAATTCAGAAAAAAGAACCAAGCCGTCCGCCTCGCCGTAAATAGATTGGCCGTGGTTCAGCTGTTGTGGAGCTGCTTCACGATTCGATTCCAAATGAGATGGTAATTTCATTTGATACAAACTGCACGGCAGTAATGCGAATACCCATTAATGGCATATACATCACACACAAAAAACGGTGATGCATACTCCCCGCAGTAGACCACGCAGTGCAAAAATGGCTCTAAATAAATGTTATAAATTACATTTCATTTGGTTATGCGTGTGTAGTTGTGGAATAACAAAAAAAGTACACACAATGAGAATAATGCATTTATTAAATGCACACGTCAAGCATGAGCGCAAGCACACTCCGTTACACCCATAGATGAATCGTTGAGAATAAAAGCTTCCAGCAAAAGTTGCATGACGCAAACACGTCGAACGCCTAGAAATGACGTTCTGAATATTTTATCGCACCAAAGAATTACACTGTTGTTGCTTGAAATTGAAGATTCGACCGATATCGATTGCCGCTTTGCATGCGTCCCTCTCTAACTATAAAAAGTTGTACGTTCATTTTCAGCGGTTTATGTCCACATTTAGATTTTTATACTGCGTACCTTGAACTTTCTTCGCTTCGGATTCGCCCAAATTCAAAAAAAAAATCGATCGATAGGGAAAAAATTTCGTTTTTGATAAGCCCATTTATAACGGCACCACTCAATGGGGACAATGATGACGACGACAACAACGACCACGACGTATGTCAAAGTGGCGACAAAACGAAACGCTTTGACACATAGCATATGAAATAGATAGACATTTTTTCATTCATTCATTCATTCATTCGTTTCGTAAACGCATCCATAGTGGTGTTGTGCTGTGATTGTCAACTGAATCATTTTTTTTTTAGTTTCTCCGATCCGTGAAAATAGCGCAGAAAAAAGCCAGATGAGATTTGTTGCAATGTTTTCGCTTCGTTGATTTCTATCAGCGTATTTGTTTAGTATGAAAGAAGGGAGAGAGAAAAAACACACACTGATTGTGAAACAAAAGTCGAAACGCAACAAAAAAAGAGCGAAAAATCTGAAATCATTGAGAAAATGCGAGTGATGTGTAAAATGGTTAGAAATTTAATTTAAAAATAAATAAATAAAAGGTACGAGACAAAATGGAACGTTTCAATGTGAAAATGTGGATTTGTGTGTATCGAGATATTGACATCAATATCGTTTGATTGGAAAATCATCAACAACATCATCATCGCAATCGAGATAACAATTGATTGAATCGATTGGTTGAATTAATTTCAAGAGCAACGAGAGACCACACAGAGAAAGAGAACTTTCAATCAATTTTTATCGAAAATAGTATAATACACGTGCGATTGTACGGCATGTTCATCATGAGGCATGAGCATTAGTTATATGTATGAAGTATTGACACAAATTCGAATCGAGTCGTTTAAAATGTCTGTGTTTGGATTTGGTTTTGTGCTAGGAGAGCGAGCAGAGAAAAAATATGGTCAGCGAATAACAAAGTGATATATATGTATATACTCATAGCCAGTTCAGCGGAATCAAGTTTTGTGCGACGCAATGTGCGTCGCACATGTGGCTTTGTTGTATGTACCAGAGACAAGCAAAGAATGACACACGCCATAAAAATACACCAACCGCTTGCTCACTCGCTCGCGCTCGTCACATATTCAATGGAGTAAAAGTCGTTGTCGAATGAATCGAAAATGGCAATAACATGCATTTGCACATATCAAACCCCATCAACAACAATGGGGGGGAAATTCTGAAACAGGCCATTTAATCGATTTACCTAGTTGTCCGAACCGTGCGAACAGATAATTGTTCGATCGAATAATGCCAACCGCATTGTTTCCATTTGAAATTCAATAATAAGATAATGAGAGAGAGAGAGAACAAATAGTCGGATTAAAAGGAATGTCAATGGTTTACAAAATGCTCAACTATCGTTGTTCCCTTTATCATTTTCCGTCAAACCATACCGTTGTTTATTTTCATGCGGAAACCAAATTCTGCCAAAATGGATATGGTTACTGGCGAAAATGCAGCGTTGAAAGCAAAAACGACCGACTTCTTTTCCCTGAGACTGACCTTTTGTTCTGCAATCTATTTTTACACATGATCTACTATGTTCCAAATGAGTCATGTTTCACAAAATGCCACTTTTAGTTTTTGGATACTTCGATGGATGATAAAGGTAGTGAAATTGATAATATCGTACACACTGAATTCACCGTGCTTCTCGTTTTTTTTTGTCGGAACCACAATCAGCTACGGTGTGGTTTAGTGTTATCAGTTGCACTAAACGAGTGATGAAATGGCAACGTTGTTCAATGTTGCGATTTTTGGAAATTGTGATGTAATTTATAACACACAGACCCGATTCGATGATAAGAAAATATTTTTTGAATGGTATTTCTGTTTTGTTTATCTTTCGCCATGTTGAAATTATACGATTAAGAAATATTAATGTTTATATACGATGCTAATATGCTATGATATAGTTTCATGTAGTCCAATATAGATCGTATGAAAAATGCCATTTATCACAACGATTTTGTTGGGATGTGTGTTAAAGATTTCAAGCTAATCATAAAAATTAACAACACCGATATTATTATTACAATACACATCGGAATTTCGATGGTGGATGTGATAAGTGGCTTGATGTTAGAAGTGTATGATGATGATAGAAACAAACAGCAAAAACGATGCATGATATGGCACTAGTTTGCTTGCGCTATTGATCACACATCATTTTCTCTATTTACATACCGTACAACTTTCGTATTGCGGCTATACACAATTTTCCAATGTGAGTAGTAGAAAAGAAAAAGATGACACAGAAAGAGGCAACGATAACGGTCGATGGAATGGCATCGTTTAAAACGCACATGATGCGATACAAACAAAAGACGACCAGAAATAAAATAGATAGAGAATGTTGCAGCCTAGCACACCTTTTTTTCCCATTACACATTCGTTTTCGTCATTCTCTTTGACGCTTCTTCCTCTTCTTCTTTTTCTTCTTTCGCACTTCTATCGATTGCTGCTGTTGCTGGTTTTCTTCTGTGGCATTCTGATTTTTTTGGGACACTGGGTTAAGATTCTGTGAATTTTAATGCAGATGAATTAATCAATCGATCACACTTTCGTGCATTATTTATGCAAAGATGTGATTTACAATGGAAATTGTGCGGTTTCTTGTTCGTTCACGTTTTGACTTAGTGTTATTTATGCGACCGTGTGAACTCGAAATAGAATAGAAAGCGCTAGGTGATTTAAAAACAAAAAAATACAGAGACAAAACCAAACATATCCAGAGAGACAGATTTAATTGAATTGACGTCGGTCCATAACGGAAAATCACAGTCTAAAAACAATTTACGCACAAACAAACGTTTATATTTTCTGGTGGTCAAACGGTGGCGATATATGTGCAAGGCACATGTTTTTTGCTGCCAATAATGATCTTTTGCGCATTTTTTTCTCTCTCGAAAGAAAAAGAACAGCAATGTATTGGTCAGTTGTCAGTTTGAAATTTATGTGTAAAATTATATGATTATTGCTGTACAGCGGTCAACTAATTCCAATTCTGTGGTAGCCAAGAAAATTAGACACGTCGATACGCAATACGCGATAAACGAAAGGCAAAAGAGCGCAACAGCAAAAAAAACAAGTCCGCAGAGCTTCGCTTCGCTCCCCTCTGCGTCCTTGAGAGTTGTTTCGTCTTATTTTGATTTGTAGTTTTTTCAATGTTTTTTTTTGCGTACTACATGAAATGTGTTTGTCTAAGTGAGTTTGCTGTAATGATGCAAATAGCAACGAATATAGGGGAAAAAAATTAAAAAAAAACGGTATGTAGAGCTTAAAAGCGCAACACATCAAATATTTTTGAAATCGAGTTGTATATATAAAATGCACACGCACACATTTTAACCGTGTGCGCGAATAATCACGCAAACGCGCAGATAAGAAGAAATCGATGTGAACACGAATTTATTATCGATCATTAGCCAGTTGATCACTAGGGGGTAGACACACACAAATCCCAATGGAAAGATTGGTCAGATTGGTAGAATCATGATAGTTTGCACTTTTATGCTAGCTTTTTAATGCCAATAATTGTCCAATATGTAATAACACAGTCTGCAACATTATTTAAACAAATTTAAAGATGCTTGAGCATATTTTTTTACACAATTGTTTAATTATAATGTTTATTCCATTTGAAGAAAAAATTAAAATCCATTTATTTTTCATACACCAACAAAAAAATCATAATAAAATCCATTTAACATTTGACATCCAAACTAATGTCAACAGATGTCACTATGTTCAACATTTGAGACTTTTGAGATTCTTGGGATTCTTGATATTCGTAAGATTTGCCGTTTTGTTCTTGGGTCGTATGATTTAGATAAGATTTGTATGATTTGAGAGATTCACGGGATTCTTTATTTTCAACGTGTGTCTCCCCCCTAGGTTGATCACTTCACCGCATTCTACTAGCACCCATTCAAAATCGTTAGGTGCAGCCGCCGCTGCTACTGCGGTGAATGAGTTTCAACAACAAATGAAATAATTCTCCGATAGTTTTCACACGTTGAATATGTGTGTTGTTGCTGTTGTTTGTTTGTTTTTTTTTCGTGTATAATTTGCTGCCAGCATTTTAGCCGCCATTGCGACAAAATGCAAATTGAAAGCGTGTTGGCGACTTGATTTTATCTTAAAAGAACACGAAGAAAAGGTTGGAAGTTGCAAGTTGCAATCTAGAGAGATCGAGAGAGAGAGAGAGAGAGAGAGAGAGAGAGAGAAAGAGAGAGAGAGAGAGAGAGAGAGAGAGAGAGAAAGGAACAAGCAAACAAACAAACAAACAAACGAAAACAAAAAGCAGAACTATGAAGAATTATTGGAAATTTTCATTGAATTATTTGACCTTGAATCTTTGTTTGTGCATGGGATAAAAATGCAGCAATTTGGCGCATACATTGTTTTCAAAATTATTTCATTTGATTCGTTCTTCTTTTCTGGCAATTGACAATTCGAACTTCGAATTTCGAAGTCACCGTCGTAATGATTTTCGTCAACAGAACATTTGCATCATCAATCAAATCAACACATTGCCCATGTCAGCACTGAAAACAGCGCTAACACGAAGAGAAATCAACGAAAATAATAATAATCTTTCTCAATTTTTCGACTATTCTATCGATTACAATAATGAACAAGTGGCGGCTGTGAATCAATAAAATTATATTTCTATTCGCTCTGTTTGTCATTTTTTCCCTCGATCAACTATATGAAACCAATCAATCGATAAATGATTTTGCTCGATACTGTTTAATCGTTGAATAGGTTTTGTTGTGTTGGTTTCGATCTCTATTTGAACTGCCTTGTTTGTTTGTTCATTTATTTGCTTTTCGTCGCCATGAGCAGATATCTAATGTTTAAATGTTCTTATTCCATTAACACAATAAATCAAACCGCATGCATGAGATGTGAACAAAAATAGCAAAAATAACCCATTCAGTATGACCGTGTTTCTCTCTCTCTCTCTCTTTCATTCTTTCTCCCGCATGGTGCATGGCACCGTATGTATAGCGATTTTTCCTATTATAATAATAATCGGGTGAAAAGCGGTAATCAAGGGGCAAAACACTACTGAAAAGACTGAAAGTACTGAAAACCACTGAAAAGTACTGAATTCAGTTTTTCGCCATCGATAAACGTTTTTTCACATTCGAAACTGAATTTTCATGCTATACAATGTATGATATTTAATATATGTACATACATCGCTTCAATTAACAATGACCAGAAAAAAGAAAAATTATAGGAAAAAAATCAGTTCCTGTTGTCACCTTGTACAGATTTTGTGTGCGTTTAATTAGCCAGTGAAACGGACAACAGCAGAAGAACACTGCAATTAAACTCAATCAAATGTCTGTTAAATATGTAAACGTTTGTTCAAATAGAGATCGCGTATCTCATTTGAAAAGAGACAATGATTTGGCGTGATCAGGCTTCCCTCTTCGTACGCTGTAACAAAGACACATTTTTTTTATTCTCTCGCGAAATCGATATTATTCACAGATAGAAGATGCACTCAGTCAATGGAATGTCGGCTGTTGCTATTGTTTTTGTTGTTGTTTTTATTTTCAATAATAAAGCCGGATGTTGGAAATGAAAAGAAATAGAAGGCACATACACGTTAACACTTTTTCTGAATCATGGCAAAAATGCACAGAAGCTCATTCTCAGAAGCACATTGAGCGCTACAACTTCAAAGTATTGCATACTGCACATACTTTGAATTTCAAAAAGATTGGATATAGGCCAGATTGTTGACACCTGTGCAATTTAGATTTCTTTTGAACGTTCACTGCATTCACAAAGAATTCAAAATCTCGTTTGATCTGGTTGGAGTAGAGCGATGAAAATGAAATTTGAATGTTGAGGTCTTGTTTGTCAATTTTGTCAGTAAATATGCCAAATACCTGAAATAACATGTCAGACAACAATTTTGATTGATTCAATTGAAGATATAAATGTTTTCTAAAATGTTGACATTCTCTTTCCTTTCAGAATTCCAGCATTGAATCAAAAATATAAGACGAAACTGCATGTTTAATTGGCCATCGATTTGAAACAACGATAAATGGCCGAATTGAATTCGGACCAAACAAATTTATATGACTGGATCATTTTCTATTAGCTATGGCCAAACTAACTAACGTTCTGATGGTGAGTCTTTGATGCACCACACGAGATCCTTTTATTTTCGATTCAATTTCAGTTTTTAACGCTTATATTTTTTATCATTTCAGAAACTATGTGTCCGCGAAAAAAAATTAATTAATTATGAAAAGACAATTTAGAACTGAAATATGAAACGCAAATAATGCAAGGAAAAAACAAACAAAGCGAACTAATGCTGAAACAAAAAGCAATTAAAAAAACTCCAAGCCAACAACAAAACTAAATGAAGGAATTCGGGAGCGAAAAAAAACGCTACATCGAAATACGTGAATGAAACGAATTGACAGCCATACCATAGCATAAATTCTAGTACAGCAACAGAAATTTATTTAGCTACTTAGTTAAAGAAAGAAGGAAAATAAGAAGAAGAAGAAGAAGAAGAAGAAGAAGAAGAAGAAAAGAATCAAAACAAAAAGTAAGGCAAAATGTCCTTTTTAAATAATTTAAAGAAAGTGCTCCACCTGGGCGGTGGTGAAGCGAAAAAGAAGCGCATATACAATAATATTCGCATGGATTGCGATCCAAACGAATATTGGGAAATGATTGGTGAACTGGGTGACGGTGCATTCGGCAAAGTGTATAAAGCTCAACACAAAGAGACGGGCAATTTGGCGGCCGCCAAAATGTGCACACTCGAAGATGAGGAAAATTTGAGCGATCACATGGTCGAAATAGATATTTTATCTGAAATTAAACATCCGAACATTGTCGAATTATATGAAGCATTCTCAGTAGATGATAAACTATGGGTAAGCGATTAAATTTATATCAAAAATTCCCACCCGTCGCTCTCAAAATGAATAGTTTCTAAGCTCATTTCTCTCTATTTCGCAGATGTTAATCGAATATTGTAACGGTGGTGCCTTAGATAGTATTATGGTTGAGTTGGAGAAGCCACTCACCGAACCACAAATCGCATATGTGTGCAAGCACATGACTGAAGGTCTTAGCTTTTTACATAAAAATAAAGTAATTCATAGAGATTTAAAGGCTGGTAATGTACTTTTAACGATGGACGGTGGCGTCAAATTAGGTGAGTGTCGCTACTAAATTGATTCAATCTATTGTCTCCGAAACAATGTTGATTCCGAATGAATTGCTAATGCTGTTTTTTCGTTCTGTTTGCAGCTGATTTTGGTGTATCAGCGAAGAACAAGCATACGTTACAAAAGCACGACACATTTATTGGGACGCCTTATTGGATGGCTCCCGAACTAGTGCTCTGCGAAACATTTCGAGACAATCCATATGATTACAAAGTTGACATCTGGTCACTTGGTATAACGCTGATCGAATTCGCTCAAATGGAACCACCGAATAGCGAAATGTCACCGATGCGCGTTTTATTGAAAATTCAAAAGAGTGAACCACCCAGACTCGATCAACCGTCGAAATGGTCCAAGGATTTCAATGAATTTCTGGCAAAATCATTGATCAAAGATCCACAACAGCGACCGTCCACGGATGTTCTACTCACATTGCCATTCATCACCGGTTCATTAGACTCAAAACCGATCAAAGACCTGCTCCTTGAATACAAGGCCGAAGTGGTTGAAGAGGAAGTTGTCGACGAAGAAGTTGAGGTAATTTTCATCAAAACTATATCCCATTTCATACGCATTGAAACATTCCAACATCGCACATATACACACAATTTTATCTTTCACAACGTTATAACTAACCGATAAATCATTATCTTGTCAATTTTTCACGCTGCTTTACAAAAACCAAAAAAAAAAAATCAAAAAAATCAAAAACCAAAATCTAATAATTGCAAACACCTGCACAATACCAATTCGAAACAAAAAACAAAACACACTCAAATATACGCAATACATGTAGAAAGCGAAAAGGCAGGCGAAACGTAGATCTCTATATCAGAGGGTTGGTAAGTTGTCAGACTGGCTAATTTCGAATGAAAAATGAAATAATTTTTGTTCAACTAGTCTGACTTTTGTTCATACCAAAAAAAGAAGAAAAAAACAGAACTAGAAAATGTAGTTAGAACGGACTAATTTTTGCTCGTGACCTTTGTGCTTGTGTCTGACTTTTGAGTTTCAAAATTTCTTTATCAAATGCGTGTTTCAATTGGTTTTTTTTCTGTAATTTGTCGTCCTTTCATGTATTTTAGACTCTTATATTGGCATTATTTGTTCATTAAATCACAAACAACACCCCAATGTACATATTATATTTGCTACATAAACAGCAAGATTGATTTGATTTTTGTTTCATTTTAGGAAACCCGCAACTCAACACTTCCACTCGACTTGGATGAAGATTCATCATCACTTCAAAGCCAAGACACGGACAAGCGTAAGCATATATATACTATATTCACTTTCACAAAAAAAAACTGCTTAAATGTTCAAAATGTATAAATGGTACTGCCCAGCATACTTCGAAAAATAGTGTCTACACCGGAGACGGGAATCTTTTCCATGGTTTCAGGGCCACTGAAAAAGGCTTTTGTTACCAAAATGAACTTATTCAGTACATTTTATCATAAAATTGTTATAATGTGGAGCTCTTAAATCAGTCAAATCTTCATAGATGAAATGAAGTCTTGGATTCTGAGAGGGTTTTTAATGTTGAGCAGAATGATTGTTCCTAAAATTTATGTATAAAATGAATTTGAATTTAGTTCCAGATACCCCTACAACAGCAACGAAAACATCACGCGATTTGAAAGAATCTGCTCCAGTGGCAGCAGCACCAACCGCAAACGATAGCAAACCGCCACAACCACAACCACAACCAACGGCTGGAAATAAATCTCTAATACGAGAAAATTCGCATGAATCGGAAAAAGAAGCAGAGTCAGATCGTCGGGCACCAATTGTGAGTATTAAATTTGAGTTTAAATTTTGAAGAAAAAATTAAATAAAATAAATAAATTCAATAAAACATATGAAATTTTGTAAAAATCGTGGTAAATGTATTATGTATGCTAACACATTGTCATCTATGAATCAAAAGGTCGTGAAAAAAGAGAAGGGACCAGCTCCACCGCCTCCGTCATTGCCAAATTCAGTTGCACCATCGACTGGACCAAAGGAATCGGCTGATGGGAAAATTACAACAGAAACTAACGTTGAAGAAATTGACAACAAGCCAAATAAAAAAGAAATCAATGAATCACCAACCAGCACAACACCAGATGATACTCCAATTCAACCAGAGGTAATAGATGAATTTTCAAACAAGAATATGCCTAGCGTCGAATATAAAATAAAGATAATTTTTTTTAAAAATTGAAATTGTTCAAATTATCTGATTTATAGATTGACCAAATTGACGACACAACTAAGGTCATTTCGGTACGAAATTCAGACTCAACGACTTCAAGCACTTCGAATAGTAGTGGAATTTCGGTATCGTCGGCTACAGCAACGGTGGCAAACAATAAAGAATCATCTGCCAACACATCGACGATTACAATCAATTCCGATTTGCCAGATATGTCCAACAGCTTGGCGAGTAATGTAAGTCAAGTGACGGTCGTAACCACAAGCCATCCACCAGTCATAATAGACAATAGTGTGTGCGGAAATAGTGTGCCGCCACCGCCGCCACCAAAACCGCCGGCACAACCACAAACCAAATCATCGTCCGGCAATGAGGTGTTCATCGTTTCAAACGAAACGAATAAGTCTCACCCGCTGACCGAATCATCAACAGACGACGATTATCCATCATTGGATAGCTTGGAATGTAGTTCGTCACGATTTGCTAAGCAAACGGGCCAAAGTACGATAATTATTGGTGACTCAACGTCAACACCCGTCTCGCCAACTCCATACACTCCCAACCGACAACAACAACATCCTCGTGCCCGAAAATTGGACGAAAGTGAAGTGTTTATTGTGAATAACAACGAAGATGAAACGACGCTATCGGACAGTGAAGCCAATAAATCCAATTTAAAGAATCTCGATACGAGTCACGTGTCTGTGGTTACCGTCGGTGAGGAGATTCGCGTAAAAGATTCTTCCAATGTTAAAACACCGCTTCGTCAATCAAACAGCAGTATAAATGCATCCATCACCAGTGACACGTAAGTTCAATCACTCCATCTAATGAGAACAACATGTTTCTGTTTAAAGCACCATATTCAATTCAAATTCTATTTTGAAACAGGAATGGAATCTACACACCAGATTCGTTTGACAGCGGTGAAAAGCACAGCGCATTGCAAAATCGCCAAAAAACAAATGGACAAGTCGGTGGACAACGCGACGATGTTAGTATTATTGTCAACAAAAAGAAAACCAAACCAAAAATATCACCGGACAGTTCGGTCGGCTCGATGGATTCGCGAGCACAAAGCGAATGCGGTTCGATACGGTCAAGTGACAAGGAAATTTTCCCCGGACCAATACATCCAGGTCATCATAATATTGTAAGTTTAATTGCTTTGGTTTGAAAGTCAAATTGAAAAAAGAAGAAGACGAAATTTATAAATTTTCCTCTTTTCTAATTCCACGTTTTGTTGCATTTGTTTTCAATAGCATCGTAGCGACGCTGAGAGTACAAATAGTCATGAAAGTAATCAAGAAAATGCAAATGACGCGGATTCGACGGTAATCATTCGACGAACGAAACCGGAACGCACGAAGGAAGAGATCGAAATGCGCAATCTCAAGAAAAAGACAAGGAAACGAACGCGTAAATTCGAAATTGATGGCGTTCAAGTGACAACGACCACCAGCAAAGTGATCTATGGCGATGATGAAAATGGCAGAATGTACGATGACCATATATGCCGTAAGCAGGAATTGCGCGAATTGAAAATGTTGCAAAAACAGGAGAAGAAACAATTCTTGGACTTGCAAATCAAAGAACAAGCGAGCAAAGAGCAACAAGAACGGCGTTTTGACCAGGAGCGCATTGCACTTGAGCGTACATACGAAGCGGACATGGATACGCTGGCACGGCAACATCGACAGTTAGTTGAAAAAACCGAGCAACAACAAGAGGCTGACCTAAGAGCAACATCGAAAAAGATTCGTGCCGAACAGGAACGTGATCTTAAATTGGTAGGTTGTTTTCTCTCTCTCTCTCTCTCTCTCTCTCTCTCTCACTCTCTCTCTCTCGAAATGGTGATTGGTTGAAATTTGAATGTTGTTCTACCGTCTTTTGGTTGTTGGCATGATATTGATTGCGTTCAATTCGTTGTTTCAGTTCCGAGATAGTTTGAAGCAAGAGATTCGTTTGTTAAAACAAGAGATTGACCTACAACCAAAGGATCGGCGAAAGGACGAATTCCGAAAGCGAAGAGGTTTGATGGACATACAGCACGAGGACAAAGAAAGAGCCTTCTTGCAGTCACTTTCCGAAAGTCATGAGCTTGCTTTGCGCAGACTAAGCGAAAAGCATCGAGATCGTTTGGCCACAATCGATAAAAATTTCCTACAACAAAAACAAACGGTAGGTGGTCAATTGATAGAGAATATTTTTCTTAGCAATAAAATTGTAAGAGAATTGAAGATTAGAGATTTCCTCGAAAATAATGTTTTCTCCCTTTTGTCTCTCCGAATAAATGAAGGCGATGCGAACGAGAGAAGCAATGCTATGGGAGCTTGAAGAAAAACAAATTCACGAAAAGCATCAATTATCCAAGCGCCATGTGAAAGATATGTGCTTCATGCAACGCCATCAAATGATCATTCGACACGAAAAGGAATTGGACCAAGTGAAACGGTAATTGAAACACATGCTTTGGTTCTTAGTTACAATTAACTATTTTTTGCCCTGTGCCATACTCACCATTACTTTTTAATGCTACAGTATGTTACAACGAAAAGAAGAGGAGCTCGTGAAACGGCAAGCTGTTGAACGGCGTGCACTTCCGAAACGTATTCGAGCTGAACGAAAGGCTCGTGATATGATGTTCAGAGAATCGTTACGCATCTCCACAAATCTTGATCCAGATGGTGAACGAGAAAAACTTAAAAAGGTAATAAACCAATGCATAAATACATAAATATTCTTTTATGTATACCCTTTTTAGCACTACATGGAATGTAGGCTACTGTAGTTGTTATTTTTTTCCCAAGAAAATTTTAAGAGTCTTTAGGCCATTTTTTCTTGTCGTAAATTGATTCATTTTAATATCAATATTTTTTATTTCAAATGAAGCAATTACGCCTAATTGCAAAAATGAAATAAAATCATGTTCTTGTAATTCACTTTTGAGATAACTCAAAAAAAAATTTCCACTTTTTTCGTTACCAATGTGAAATAATGTATGATCATTCACATTGAATGTACATAAAACACATAAGTGAAGAATACAATATCATCATATAAATTTATTCAATTATTTTTGACAATATTAAAATGATTTGCATACAAAAAGTATACTACGATTAAAACTACATTCCATGTAGTGCTTACGATAATAATTTGATGAGAAACATCAAATTAATTAAAACCCTTAAGAACGCAGAGCGGAGCGAAGCGACGATCTGTGGTCTTATTTTTCAATGATGTAATTTTTTTCTTCTTCTGTTGAATTTTTCTTAAATATGTACAAACCTTGATCACGTTCAGTTCCAAGAACAAGAAAAGAAACGCTATACACAGGAGCAACAACGGTTTGATATTAAGCATGTGAAACAATTGGAGGAATTGCGTGCAACAGCCGAAGGAACAATACGGTAAATACTGTTGAAATATAAATCAATCCTTAGATTTTAGCGAAAATCATATTTTATTGAAAATTTCAATTCAATTTGGGTGCGTTAACATAGTGAGCTCGAGCAATTGCAAAATGAAAAGCGCAAAGCGCTGCTAGAGCATGAAACATCCAAATTACGGGAATGTGATGAAGCATTACAACGCGAACTGCGCGAATGGCGATCAGCACTTCATCCAAGAAAACAGGCAAGTCTCAATTTGAATTTAAATTCAATTACTTTTTTCCTCTTCGAAATTTCAATTCACGAAATGAAACATCAAAAGTTGCCAGTGGTAGATTTTTTTTACATCTGTTCAGTTGTAATTTTGTAGGAAGCTTATGTTGAGAAACTTGAATTAGTTCGGTTTGAGTGCGACATTTATGATTTGTATATTATTTTTCTTGTACCTTGCAAACGATGAAAGATGCTTATTTACAACACTGTGAAGTGCAATGGTAATATATTCAGCAAATCCAAAACGTTTCAGAGTTCAGTTTGCATTGCTTTTGTCCCTATCAGAAGATCACTGACTTGAATCATGAATGACGTTTAAAATGTCATTTCTGACAAATGCCATTTCCAACATTTGGATAAACCTTATGACGAAAGCATTTACCTATACTTCCAAATTATACAGTATAGATGCCGTTAGAGCATTCATTGCTGAATATTTTACATTTACAGCGCACTTTGTTGCTTATTTACATCGATCAGTCCTAATTGTTGTACATAATTTTTTTTTATTTATCGACACTTTTACTTTTTATCTAGCTGTTGTACAGATTTTCTCTCCCTATAAATTAAGTAGCTAAACGCTTTTATGGTCTCGCTATCAGAAGGTTGTTTTTTTCTGCACTTTTAAACTATTTCTGCTATTTTTTTTCTGTTGTTGTTCGTATTTAATTACAAGCCGTCAAATAGACGGAATAGTTCTAAAGATAACCGACCTGTTTTCCCCTCAATTTATTCAAGAGATAATTTTTCGTTAACCCATTGGAAAGTAGAATAGACCAAGAGCTGTTGAACAAAGTACTTACTATTCAAGCTTCATGTCAGATAATGGAATTGTAGGTGCACATTAAGGCCAATATTCAAAATATCAATTTGTTTTATCATCATTTGATACACATCACAATATCTGCACGCCGATAACAAGAATAAAAATCGCTTCACTTTTCGTTCAAGCTT